ATCTATCTATCTATCTATCTATCTATCTATCTATCTATCTATCTATCATTGATGACTATATGTTTCTGTGATGTACTTTATTTTCTCAACATTGTGGTGAATTGGATGAAAAGTCCCCCAGCAGGCTGCCCTGCCTGGCTGTCAGAGCGTGTATATTCCAATCAGATGGTTGTCCTATGTTTAAAATATGTGAGCTTAGGGTCACATTACCTGTACTGCAACATGGCTCCAAGCGGTTAGGTCGGAGATTTAGGCGTGTCGCAGAGGTGTTACACCCCATGAGTGCACATGAGGTAAATGTTGAAACCGTTTTCAGAGGGTGTGTGCAGGTTTCCAGTTTTGAATTAATAAATTCAAAGAATTTCTGAGTGTATTAGATTTTATGTTCGAATGGTATAAATTGAGGTCATTCAAATGGACCATAAGATCAAATAAAGGTCTTTGGGGCTTAAAGCTTCAGTTAAAGTGTCATGGTGCTAGAATTGTAAGGTTGGCATTCAGGATAATATTGAATATTCATACCTCAGTTAAACACCACCTGACTCGTGTGTATGTCTTCAGCAGTTTATGAAAAGATGCAGGTTCCGTGCCAAATTGTAGAGGCTAATATGGCACGGTTCGCATTAAATCTCATGTCAATTAGCAAGGACTGTGGTTCTAATCTGTGTAAGTATTCAAGTTTAAGGTTTTTTTCCTTTTTTTTCTTTCAAAATGTTTGACAGCCTCATGATGTGCTCTTCTGCTGCTGATTGCTTCCAGCAGGTTGCCATCCTTGAGCAATAATACTAAGATGTGATTCCTAAATCTTTTTGTTGCACAACACATTCTTTCAAGATACATTCTTTCAAACCGATTTTCATGTAGAACCTATCAAGTAATGGATTGTTTGTATGTAACATGTTCGCAGTAAAATTGTCCACAGACCTGATGTAGCAGGTTTATAGCTACAAAACAAGATATCCACATGTATAGTTAGATCATATATACATATATTTGTTTTTTTTTTGTTAATGTTAACAGTGATGATTGCTTCACACTGGATATGTAAGTTTTGTTTTTACACCCACACATGGGCTTGGATGAAGAGCTCAGTGGAACAGATGTCATGACACTAGTGGTGTAAACAGCAGGAAGTCACCTCAGGGTAGGGATCTCCTGAGAAACACTGACTCTCCCACCTGCAGAGAAAATGAGAGCTAAGTACTGGATCCAAAACAAAGGCTTGTTTAAGAGAACCTATGGACATATTAGTTATCTATATAACTTTTAAGCATAACAGCTTTTCTTGCCTTAACTGTTTTGGTAAAATCAGTTTTGTGTGTTTGGAGGGGGGTAATTTACAGCATATCATGTCTGCATGTAACATGCAGCATTAACCAAACAAATACAATGAACTCCAGAATAATAGTTTATTAAAACATATACTTTTAAAGCTTGGTGGTTGGATGGGCATTTGCATTTCTAGGTCTAAGTTGATTAATATATCCTTTTTTTGTCCTAAAAAATAACCAGACTCTTTACATTTTTGGAGTTGTTGGTTTTTCAAAAACCAGCTCCTTAGTGAGATAAATGCTGTCTGCAATGCTGGCTATAGTTTCTCACATTTATCTTTGGAATGCATCAACTAATCAAGTCCAAAAGCTGACTTTCACGAAAATATTTTGACTGTGCCCAAGATTCTTCCTGTTTGTGTTTGGCTTTGTTTCCCCCTCTCTGAATGGGTGTGTCCACCCTCGGTAATCTGACACCATTAACACGTTGAAGTTACTGTAACAGGCTAAACAGCCTCGACCAGTGAGTGCCGGGAGTCTCGCTCTTATTCACACCCACTTGTCAAGTTCTAGCTGTGTAAATCAAGAAGATGCATGTTGGTGTTTAGTGCTTTGTATGCTCCTATTCAAAACAACACGATGAAAGTAGAGTAAGAAAAGAGGGGTGGGAAAATCATTTTCTCTTTGGCAAGCTGTCTGTAAAGAGGGGAAGGAGCTGCTGAAATTCAATGAAACAGAGAGAGGGGGAAAAAAACTTGACGGGGTGAGGGAATAAAAGAACCACCCAATCTCCCAAACCACCCAATCAAGCTGCGTTCTTGGAATTGGATCCCTCCCCTGCTCACCACCTGAGAGGGAAGAAACACAGCTGTGCCTCAGAGAATCCAAAGACTGAGAAAGGCGAAGAGAAAAGACCAGAGAGCAGGTGAGAAGCTACACATACAAAGAGCATCAAACCTTTTGAGAAAAGTGCCTCTTTAACAACTGAAGACGGAAGATTCCTACATTTTAAACAACAAATTGTGACACAGACCCAGGAGAAGAACTTGCATTCTCCGGGGAGCTATGTAAGATCAAGGCAATGAGCTCATAGTCTCTGGATTGAATGAACCAACAAAAAGAGAAGAAACCTGAAGAGGAAACTGGATTCAGTTACTATCTTTTCTTCCCTACTGAATCTACCTTGAAACTATGTAAAGTCCACTTGTTATTTCTGAGGAGGGCCTCTTTTTGACGATAGACAACCAGTAGGGAGGCTGAGCTCCTGCGTCCCGTACGGTCCACCGGGGAGACATGTCTATTGAAGATGTAAGAAGCTCTGCCAGCTTTGTGGCTGAAAATGCCGCTTCAGATCGTTGCAATGGCCACTCTCTGCGGGAAAGAGCGGACCAGGATGTGGACAACCAGAGCCAAGGCCAGGATGGCATCGTTTTGGGACTCATTGCCACTCTGTCACAGGACACATGTGATCCCAGTGCCTTGAAGGGGAGGTTTTCAAGGTTCCAGTCCAAACCCAGAAGAAGGGCAAACATCATGGGAGGTAGGTTCAGTCTTACTTGGACTGTTTAAAAGTACTTATTTTAATTTGTGTTGAAGTGTTTTTTTGTTTTGTTTTTAGGCTGGAAACTTTTCAAAGAACGAAATCAATATCCTAATTTCCCTCTCTGGAATGTGGTGTGTGGTTTTTCTTTAATTAACTATCCAGTGTTTTGGAAAAGATCAGATCTGTTACCACCTACTTAGCTCCTCTTCTTATTGGCCACATATCCAAATTTATGGTCTTTTGTTTTAGTGTTTTTGAAAACAACACAATGTTAATTTAGTGATCCTAATTACAATTGAGAAACAGCCTCCAATGTAGGTGTGGATTTCTTCTTTTGCCCAAACAACATGTTCTTTCTCAGCTAAGCGTCACTTCTGGGATTCTCATGCCCAAACACTTCCAGCTGTGGGAGACCTGAGGTAGCCTGTCAAAGCATGATATGTGTTTGACTAAGTCCAGCTCTAATATCACTGAATTTCTCATCATTAATGTACAGCTCAAGGTTTCAGACATAAAATAAAGACATAGGAGTGCTTTTGTTTTTTGTTTGAATACATATTGTTGAGGTTTTGTTGGATTCCATAACTTTTATTTGTATCTGCCATTTGCACATTGCACTTGAAAATGTTAGGTGTCTGTTTGTGTGACCTTTCAGTAGTTAGAGATCACTTTATCTTGCAGCTTGTACTCTGTCCTTGTCTCTGCAAAAAATAATACTACTATCACTTGATCGCAAAATAGAGAAAGAAATCACTTTTTGTTCCTCTTTTGAAAGTCACTGTCAGGTCAGAATAGATTCATACAAGGCCTTTCAATCATTTACACTGTGAAGAACTGATGAGTTGAAGTTTTAGTCGGCAGGTCCCCCCGGTAGTTGAAAGGAAAGAGTTGTAAGAGGAATATTAGGAGATCAAGAATGAGTGTCGACTTACAGTAAACCTTTGACTAGAAGAGGATCATGTAAAAAAAAATGTTTATGGAAAAGTCATGAGAATGTAATTTGAGCATAATTAAGCATAAGTGAGTTAAGTGGGTTAAATGAAGCAGAAATCAGTTGGAGCCATTTTGCACCTGACTTTTTTTCTTGGGATTTAGCCAAACTTCAAAAGAGGAGAGAAAAGTGAGAATACAGCGAACAGCAAGGAAGGAAATCTGGAGTGAGGTGGTGCCTGGATACACAGGCACCACCTGCACAAACATGTCTTTCAGGAGGAATTAACAGTAGCTTCTCAATAAATGAGCGCAACGTTTAGAAAGGTCAAATTGTCAACGCAAGAAACGCCATGAAATTGAATATTGCGGGGCTTCTTTGCTGCGGGGAACTGCTTGACTGAGGCTTTTATGTTTGGGAGACTGGTATGCCTGAAATGAAAACTTCTCACTCACATTCTTCACATGAGCTATCTGCTGGATCAACCCACCTATGTGTAGGGGACAGTGCTGTGTGAACCCTGAAACTCAAACAATCCCTCCCAGATTGTGTGTGGCTATTTATTTACACATTGTTTATGTGTGAGTCTGTGCCCTTTTAAGCAGAGGACATCCGCCTGCATATATCAGGTTAATGGATGAGTAGGCAAGTTAGGTTGTCTGAGCGTTTGTTTTCGTGATTACCTCAGCATTATTGAGGACTGACACAATTACTGAATTAATGATAAGAAGAACAAGTTAATCAGTAAATTTGATAAATGGCTGTTAAAAGGGGAGACACACCGTTCTGCCATTTTCAGCTCATCCAGCATGACGTTAGGCAGCTGGTCTGAGTCACATACTTGTATAATTATTGATTTACACTAATTTTGTTTGACTTCTCAAAACTGTGGTGAACGCAGTTTTCACTATTTGCATTGTGAGCTTCAGCTGAATAATAATCAAACAGATTTTATCCCTTGGCCTCTTGTGGTTTTCTCCTGCGACATTTGGTGTCCTCCGGCTGTCAGACCAGTTTGGCAGGTCAAATAGTGACAACTTCCTTACCTTTGTCTGTATCTTGGAGTGAACTGATGACCAGTCTGGGGTGAAGCAATCCTTTTGTCCAGTGTTCAGTGGGATAGATTCCAAAATTCAAAGACCCAGGAAAGACTGGTTGGATGAATGGTATCACAGGAATAGGAATAGACCAAACCCATCAAAATTGTACAGCTCAATAGATTAAGGTTAACAGTAATCAGACCTGAATCTATATGTGAATGAATGCACAGTTAGATAATCAGGAAAAGAGTAATTTTCAAGTACATATATGTGAATAAGTAGCAAAGAAAAATAGATTGAAGTCAAGCCAGTAATGAGCATGATTCTCTGTTTTGACTCACTGCTGGCTGTCACAGCAGCCAGTGAACATTAGCTGTGTTTCCTGAACCAATGGGACAGTTGTAGAAATCCTAAACACATCCTACATAGGATGAATTCTTTTTTAAATTGCAGAGCTGATTTTTGCTCCATGTGTTATTAACGATTCTGCCATTGATGAGGAATGCTAAAAGTTTATCCACGTTGGCCGGTAAAACCTACACAATCGGCTTTTAGATATGGCTCCACAGGAAAGCAGTCCACATGTCCATTTTGAGGTTTAACTTCCCAGTGTTATGCACTTGTAGGATGTGATAGCCTACACCTCTAGGCTAGGTGGGTGCTATTGATCTTTACATTAATGTAGTAGAAGGTGTGGGAGATTGATGAACTTTTCAAGTATGAAAATGTGCCATTCTGATTAAGTATACCAACTTACAATATATCTTCAAAGGACATATAAGACATAAATGGAATTTAGTTCAATATATGTCTCATTAACTTTTCGGAGTGCATGTTTGAATGTATGAGCGCATGTGTGTGTGTTTGTCCATGTGTGTAGAGGAGTCACATTCCAGCAGCTGGCATGCCCAGGCCTCTGCTCAGAATGTGTGGAATCCCAGGAGCTCTGCAAGGGTGTGTGAGATTTAGTGCCCGTGAATTTTACTTGTAGCTACTTTGTTTATAGTCACTTTGTTGAAAACACCCCCCTTTTCACTCTGTAGGTCATGAACTAGATTTTCACATTATAGTTGTAAGGTTAACTCCAACAGGCATTTCCTATGAGCACTTTTCTTTGCCCAGTCAAACAGCTGCATTGTTCCCTTTTACGATTTGTTCACATCTAGCAAAGCAAAATGACTCAGTCTGGCCCACAAGCTTGCCGTCTTTTACAAAAGTGGCACCTCATATGTTTAATTTTCATATATGTCAACTGAAGCATCCTCTGCATCTGCTACAGATAACTTTTATCATGAGTGTGAGAAAATTAAATCAACAAACTGTAATCTTTGGCATCTCAATGGTTTTCATTAGGAAAGGTGAGGTAGAGATGAGAGAGCAAAGTTTAGCGATCTCTAATCATCTTTGAGTCTGGCTACTTTGTGCAGCTGTAAGTAAGTGGTAAGCAAGTTGTTACCTTGGATGCAAAGACAAAGTCAGAGCATGATCGGCTGACAGCATTGACTTTAGGTAAGCAGAGGTAAAGACAGGAATAGGCCTTCAGTCGCTTACTGTTTTTTTTCTTTTCCTTTGAGATTAGGCTTTAATTGTCTGTTAATGTGAACCAGGCCATCGTGTGCTCCATAGCTCTCCAGTGAGCTGCAGCTTAGCATGACATTGTATCCTATGCACATTCTACTCATTTTCTTCCTCTCTTTGCCGCTCGCATATCTTCTGCACTTCCACAATTCAGCCGAGGAATTACATGATGACACCAATTATGTTCTCGCACTTCCACTTTTATTCAGCCAACCTTAATGCCGTTTCTTTATAACTCTCTGCTTCAACAAACCATGTCAAACCATCTTTGACATAAAAGAAAAGAATGTGCCGCTTCTTTTTTGTCTTAATCCCAAACCCAGTGCTTGAGCCTTTGACATGACATGATCTTAAGACCTGTCATGATCTGAGCTGAGGCACTGAAGCAGGGGATAGTGTCAGCTGTAAAGACCATGGTGTGGACCCGTAGCTACTTGCTGTGAACACTTACCGAAAATGCTGTCATAGCACCCACATACATACAGACAGGCATAGTTTGAAAGCATACAGTATGTCATTTAGAAGCATGCACATGGCTAGTATGTGTGTGTTATCTATGTGTGTAGATGATTTGTTGGATGATTGTTAACAAGAAAAAGCAGTACAGAAATACCAAATAGATGCTATCAACATTTACTCAGAAATCTGTATTAAGATGGGTGTACATGACCTTACATAATTTTTGGTTCATATAAGATGACTCATTGTATCGAGATTCTGTTGTTTTTCAAGTCTAATTATTGCTGTGCTTAGGATTTGTGTGTTTAAGTCCGAGTTCAGTCTTACTTGTTAGAGTAGGAAAGGTGGAGTAGATAAAACCATATGTACTGTAAAGTGCTCATCTACAAACATTTAAATGGCCAAGTACTTTGTGAATCAATAACTGAACAATATACTCCTGCCTTTCCAGTGGGTCTCTCATCCCATGGCCAGAGAGGCAGTGATAGCCCTTCTTTGTCTCCACTGTCTTCGTAGCTGGATATTTACATAGTTCTGTTCTTTAGCTGCTGAAGTGTCTGGTCTTGATTGCTCTGCAGCTTGTAAAGAGTCTCCCAGAGAGAAGAATAACCACTAATGACTTCACCTGCAGCTCAGCATGGTGGAAATGGAGGTAGTGAAGGGCAAGAGATTCAGTGGAGAGTAAGATCACCAGCAAATTGACAAAGCAGAAAAACACTTTAAGGTTGTATGCATTAATCTGAAGCTGTGACTCAACAGATCAGTACTTGCTGGTTATTGGCTGGTGCAGCCTGCCTGTCATTCACTCTTCTGGCTCTCATTGGTCAAAGCTGCTTGACATCATGCTCTTCCCACAATAGCATGACATTAATTTCACTACACAGCTCCATCTTTCTGTTTTCCATCTTCTGCTGCTTCATTCTTTCCCATCACTTACTAATTGTACTGGTTTCTCTCTCACCGGTCTGTATTTTCCAACCACCCAGAATGTAATATTTGCTGTGTGTTGTCCCTTTACTCCCTCCCTCTCCCTCTTTTGCTCTGCTCTCTCTCTCTTGTCTTTTCTCTACGAGGATTGGCTGCTTGTGTCTCCCAACATCTGTGTATCACTGTCCTGAGAGAGCAAAACAGAGAGGGGATGGGGGGATGTTATCTGGCTAGATGGGAACATGGAGCTCAGGCAAGGTTGACTGCGCTCTCTTTTTCTCTGACACACACATTCTTATTTGTGCATGCAAACAAACAAACACACGCACTCTCTCAGCAGCAGAGAGCTGCAGCATCCGCACCGCTCGCTTCCCACCCGCATCCTCCTCACACTCTCTCCCTGCCTTTCCCTCTCGGATAGCTCTCCTCTGCCTCGCACTTGCTCCGTCCGCAGCGTTTCATCCTGCCATACTGTAGCCCCTCTGCTGTCTGTCACCGTGGCGACATAGCCTCTGCAGCCATGGCGACCAGCCAGCAGGATTCAGGCTTCTTTGACATCAGCATCAAGTCTCTCCTCAAGTCTTTAGGAGGCAGTGAGTACAGCTTATCAGAAGACAGTTGCTGGAATGCTGAACAAATGCATGATACACTTGTAATGGATTTATTTTCTGGCAGTCGATGCTCCTGTTTGCATACTGGACTTATTTTTGTCCGTGTTTGGATAGCGGCACTTGCAGAAGAACATGCAGCATATAACTTGATCCACACTGTCAATATTAGCCACTGTTACGTAATGGAATAATGGAAAGGAGAACGGTTCATTTAGATGTAACAGCTCCAGAGGTTGAGGATAAATCTGACTCCTCAGCAGTTTTTATGTATAAATTATACAGCACATTGCTTATCAGAAAAAGAGAAGATGCTTTGACAGTGTTAAAAGTTCCAGTACAAAGTATCTTTGTCCTTAAACAGCATTTAGTTTAACCATTATATGCCTTTGAATGGAAAACAATGTTGTGAGTTACTTGTCAATCAACCCTATGTTTTGTGTTGTTTACATTCCAGGAGACTCAACCTTTTTTTTAATCAGTTTCTCTGTTACTGTTTATCAGACTGAACTGAATGTTTTTCAGAGGCAGCTTAGAGTAGCATCTTCCTCCCAATTTCAAACTGGACATACTGTACTCACCCGCACAACTGTAGGTTCGTGAATCTCAGACATGACACTAAGCTGAAAGCATCTCTGCGTTATTGCCCCACTGGAACTCGTCACCACGCAGCATCTAGTTTACTTGCGCTGTGACATCAAATGTTTTCTTGGCAGTGGAGAGGATGCAGAGATCAGCTGAGGGCTCTGTTAAAGCTGGAGTATGATGATTATTATATTATCCTCAAAACATGGTTATGTGTGTTTGTGTTAGTAGTGAGCAGTCTTAATGTCCAGTTATTCAACAAAAATGTTTAGTGGTGTGTGAAGGTGGCTGTCAGCTGGGTCAGTTTCCTGTTCCCTGTTTAAATACTGCATTGTTTCAGCCATGGGAACAAAAGCAGAGGTATCGGTTTGTCTGGTTCAAGGTCACGATAATGATGGTGGGCAAAAGGCTTGAATGTCAGAGTTGAAGGTGAAATGAGGTTTTTGTTTCGAGCATACTTAATACTTATTGAGTGAAATAGCTCAATGGCATAAAGCTGATTTCATCTAAATGATCCCGTTCACGTCACTCTACCTCGTACCCTCACATGTAACTAGAATAGGTTCAGCAAAGCAGGTTTACTGACGAGTTTGTATATTGATATATATTTATAGATATCAAATAGTAAATACTGATAATCTGTGACTAAAATAGGAAGAATTTTGATTTACCTGCTCAAATGCTACAATCTGTGTTTTTATTTACAAGGTTAAATTTCCATTTTATTTGTACTCTAAGTTGTGATAACTAGCTGACTGTTTGTCAGTTAAATCAAGTCTAACCATGAGACAAGCACAGCAGATTTGTGGACTTTATCACTCCCAGTGACAGCTGCTACCTCTCCCAACATGTAGTGTTGATTCTGCAGGAGCTGGACGAGAGCATTTGTTCTATGTGGAAGTTGTTCGTCCTTTGGGAAGTGACTCATCACATTCTATGTTACACAAGACACTTTAATCCTCTTTCATATACCGAAAACCCACCAGGCAGCTCACAGGCTTTAAGTCATGGCGTTGGTCGTGTAATTAGACACGTGTTCATCACTATGTGTCACACTGCATTTGAGCCATTTTTCCTTTTTTCCACTTGTGCGGCACAATGGCTGCCAAGTCCAAAATTTGTTGTTTGCATATCATAATTTTGATAGATTGTTGTTTTTAAAAGATTTTTCTGGCAGTTTTAGTTACAAACCTTAAATCCAGTGTTGTGATATGAAAGTGTAGAATCACGCTGGGTTCTAACAACATTTTTTCAGTGATTCATTGGCTAATGTTCTTTTGCCATCTACCATTCCTCTATTTCTTTCCTTTTGCTCTATCCTTATCTTAACAGGATTTCTGTTTATACTGTAAAATGTGTGTAGTCCAAGTAAAATGTGGCCATTCTGGCTATTAAATTGTCTGTTAAAATGCTGAATCATCTAAATGCCTGTGAAGGCTCCTGGAGGTGCCCTGGTGTGTTATATCAACAGCCTTATCCGACACCGTTGTGCTCTTCTACACTCTCTCTTTCTCCAGCAATGTTCAGAAAGTCAAGCACATGTCTGTGCGCTTCACACATTCACGCTCACATGTGCTGCCCCTCATAAAATAACATTATTAAGACAATTCCACAGATGATTTGTATTTGCAGCTCCTATTTACCAAATCAGATTAGTTCGCTTTGAAAGGCAACCACATTATTTAGCTTTCTCTCAGTATCATGTGTGTGAATCTTCTGTTTTCTTGTGTTTGCACTTGTGTAGGAGTAGGGGTCAGTGGGAGTGGTGGGTATGTAAGTGAGTGACCGCCAGCAGTCTATATATAGTATCTCCCTCCTCTCTTTGGCTCTCTCTCGAAGCAGTGTTGAAATTCCAACCCAACTCTGCTGGTCAGACCTTTGCAAGGAGCAGACTTTACTTAACTGCAACCAACAACTTAAAGACAACCACAAAAATCATCTCATAGACAAACTTCTGTTCAGGGTAACTTTAAAATGGGCTTCAAGGACTCCAAGGTCGGGGGAGCTACTGTACGGAGGAAGCGTGGCCCGTGAGAAGCGGAGCAGATGCATAAGTAGTAACGTAGAGCTGGCTCATATGTAGGCTTATGGCTGTCAGGTATGGGACACTGCGCAGTCTCTGTTCAAGACACTGGAACTATTCTCAGTCCCTGCTGGTACAGTTCCCTCACGACACAATGAGTTGGCACTTGTTGTCTCTTTTGTTGTTTTGAAAGGACATTCTCACACCGTCTTTTCCTCCGTGCCTGCAACTGTCTCTGTGTGGAGGCGGCAAGTTGCTTCACGTGGGCAGTTTCAACTTGGCGATGGCACCTCCAGTCTGGATACGGCATATCTTCCTGTTTGCTTTGGACTGAATGTGGAATAGTGTTCTAATGCTGTTGTCATGACAGCTCTCTTTCTTGCACCATTTTTTTTTTTTTTTTAAACTTTTCCTGTCTTTTGAAAGATGGAGCTTCATACTTTAAGCTTTGGTTAAACTGGTACCACACTTTAGACACTGCTGCTATGTCTGCAGTTTTTGATATGATTGAGAAATTTCTCATTAAAGACAAATGGCATTTGTGCCTCTAATCACCTTCAAGGAATTACTTTTTATAAAATAATGGAAACCATTTTTTATAGCTTTTAAGGTTCAACTCCTGAACCATCAAACTGTTTCATTTGTATTTATACACTGCATTGTGTTGTCTGCACCATGGAGGTTCCAACTAAATGGAGCAGGGCTAGTGTCATCAGCTTCATCAAGGGCCTGGGTAAGCGCAGAGGGACATGCGTTCATATGCACATGTGTGTGTGTATCAGGTTTCAGCTAAACAGATTTCTGTGCATGAGGCCAAGAGGCCCGTCCTGTCCTGGAAATAATGCTCACCTCTAAGCTTAGGTCAGATCATGGTCATGACAGGGCAATTAGGCTTGAAAGTGTAGTCTGTGTGTTTCTGTTTCTTTCTTAATGACCTATATTGCCTACATTTGGACAAATCTTCAGCAGTAAATGTCTGCAGTTCAGAAATCCTATGTGGCTCAGAGTGGTGGTGGTGGGGGGCATTTTTTAGAAATGCACGACAGGATCCCTCCCTTCCATTCATTAGTCTGACCTTTGGTTGTCAGTCCCCTGTGTAATTTGTCAGTTTTTCATCACATTATGGGAGAATTGAATCCACAAATTTTTCTAATGACGTCATTATGAAGGCGTGACCTTCTCTACAGGTGTGTGTGTCCGTCTGTGTGCATAATTTTTTCACAACCAGGGAGGCTTAATGTAAAAAAAAACAAAGTGATGACAAATTCTTGACAAGTGATATGACAAATGGGGTTTAAACCAGAGTCCATATCTCAGCCGTTTCATCGGATCTCAATGAACCATTTTTTATTATTATGGTCATGAAACTAATATTTGTTCTGTTTAAAGTTTTTAGTATTAAAACCTCTGAAATGTAACATCTGATGAAACATTGCTTACCGTCCTTTTAATGCCTTTCTAAAGAACACTACAACATGAGGGTGATGGCATACTTGTTAACCCAAACTCCCCAAGTTGTGGGCAGTGTACTTCTTAATGTTTTAAAATGATCCAATCGGGGATAACAATATGATAAATGCTAACGTATCTCAACTCTCTTTAGCCTCTCCAGTGGGTCTGAAGCCGCCTCTGCCACCAGCCAGTGGAACATTGGGAGAGAGGAAAGGTCCTGTCGTCATGGCGCCTGTCAACGTAGACCCTGAGAGCAAGCCGGGCGAGTTCGTCCTCAAAAGCTTGTTTGCCAACTTCACCTTGTTTTCCGAGCGCAAGATTCGCATCATCATGGCCGAGCCACTGGTTAGTGCGCTTGTATGGCTTTTTCTAATTGTTTTGTTTCTGTTTCATATCCATTTCAGGACTAAATTATTATGTCTGGATTTATTAGATATGGTTATTATATGAGCATGAGTAATTTCAGCAAATGCACACAATGCAGGGATGTTATTGGATCCGTTTAGCATCCTGCTTCCACGTTGTATGCCAAAATGTTGACCTGTATGTTCAGCGGGTTTCCCTCTGTCTGCTGTTCTCTCGCAGGAGAAGCCTCTTAACAAATCTCTACAGAGAGGAGAAGATCCACAGTTTGACCAGGTGTGTGTGTGCCTCACATATACATAGAACCCCACTTTAAATCTGTCAGCCACATTAAAGCTTGACATTACCTTATTTTGAGAGGCAGAGACTAAAATGTTGATCCGTCTCTATGCAGTTAATCAGCACTATGAGCTCTCTGGCTGAGTACTGCTTGCCATCCATCCTGAAGACACTGTTTGACTGGTACAAGAGGCAGAATGGCCTGGAGGATGAGTCCCATGAATACAGACCCCGAGCCAACACCAAGTCCAAAAAGTAAAACCAGCACACACTTGATCGCTATTGTTTGCACCCGGCTGTGTCACGTACAAAAACCATGTTTTTATTTAGAAGAAAAATGTTGTTTGCACAACAAAGCACAAATAAACCACAACAGTTGCACATTTTATTTGTAGCAAAGGAGTTAAAGTTAAGAGAAAAATAGAAAACATCTGAAAAATAAAGAATAAGGAAATGAGAGTTCAGAAGGGCATTACTGATTATGATTTCTCAATTATTACAGCAGTTATGTAAGCTATTTGAATGGGGGAAGAAATCAAAACTACAAAACTAAATGCTACGTGCATTTTTGTAGAGTTGTGTACATAAATTCATAAAACCCCTTTAACTTGAATCAGCTAGTTTAAAAATAGTAGTCTGGAAACTGAATATGTGTCCCACAGGGCTTGTTTCCAAATGTTGAACAAACCCAACACAGAGTACACATGACAACAAAGTGGGTCAGGTAGATGGTTCCTTTGCTGAAAATGTAATAGTTGTAGATTATTCTCATGAGTTTTTAAACCAAGCAAGAACAAAAACAAGAGCTGGGGAGAGAAGAAGCGTACATGCAAGCCCCGCCATTCAGGATAAACAGTTAACGTGCCTGTGACTTTTTTAGTGACGAACAGCAGAAGGACTACTTACTGGAGCGGAGGGATCTGGCCATAGACTTCATATTCTCACTTGTGCTCATAGAAGTTTTGAAGCAGGTGAGTTTCCTTTAACATGGTGTGGCATGGTTAAGCATTCTAAACTCTTTAATTAGTTTTTCAATTCTCAGAAGCACAGGGAACTATAGATAGTGGGTTGGTTACTGTGTACAAAAACAGTCAAATTTTGACATGTATAACAATTTCTTTGCCATCAGATATCTTTATGTAATATACCATACACAAAGAGAATTTAGTATATAACTAATATAGCTAAGGTTTTAAAGAAATACACACCTATTATTTGAAGTGTTGCAATTTATTAAGTGACTGGACAAGTTGGATCATTTTAGAAATACTTTTATTTATTTTGTTAATCCAGATCCCACTCCATCCTCTTTTGGATGGACTCATTCAGGAAGTTGTCAACCTGACCTTCAAGCACTTCAAATACAAAGAAGGGTAAGGGGACTGAGTTATATGAACATGATTCATTTCAGTGAGCTAGTCAGCCTTCAGTTTGTGGATAATAGTGTTTTGTTAGGACAGGTCCACTCCATATCCTGCATGGTTGGTACTGATAATGGTGATTTGCGTTTATTTTGTAGGTATCTGGGGCCTAACACAGGCAACATGCACATTGTGGCTGACCTCTACGCTGAAGTTGTGGGAGTTGTTGCTCAGTCAAGGTACTTCAAATGCTGGATTTGACTAATCTTTACTTTTTAATATTTGTATTTTAGCATAACCTAATTTTTTCATTTCTAAGTTATGGTCTTCATGACATTAAAGCCATGAGTTTTTTTTGGTCTTAGTTCAGAATCTAATCTAATCAAACCATAGCTTCTTGTCCTCCAGCTGACCCCATTTTTAGTACTAACAAATGCTTTTTGTCAGACTTTAGTACAGGTGAGAAAAGCGATACAGTAATGACAGTCATTCTTTGTGTTTTGATAATCTGTGTGTGTGTGTTTTTGTGTCCAAAAATACGTGTGTTTGTGTGCAGAAAGATAATGATACTTTAGCTGATGGCCCTCCATCTGTGTAATGTTGTGTGCGATGATAGATGAATACTATTTTGCAAGACGTGATTACGGTGAGGTGGGGGATCATGAGGATTTTTTGCAACTGCAACCACACAACACACACATGCACACATCATTGAACACAGTCTTCATTCAGTAATGGACCAAAGTCCATGCTCTAAAAGTTCAGCAAACAGTGACTTTCCTAATTTTTAGTGATGAGCTTCCCACTTAATCAAGCTGCCTAGCAGAGGTCTGATCCCCATTTCATTGTTGTTTATTTGCAGTGCATTATTGACAGTGCTTTTAAAAGGTAAAGTACATAAACTTAGTATTACCTGTTGGTTTTTCCAGCTTTGTTGTATTTACACACTTTTAAGATAAGGGTGATAAGTCCTCCACTTGATTTACTGTTGTGGGTTGTGACCTCTGGGAAACATGCAAGAGTATGTGCAAATGCACATGCTCTTTTTCCTCTACATCACCCCTCCAGATGCCATTCTAAATATAGGCCTGCAAATAGCTGTTGGTAAAATGTATCTGTGTTTATTCATGAACACACACTTAAACGTACACGCTAACTGTACTGGTGCAGAAAAAGCACACAATTTAAGCAGTTAAATCATTTTTATCCTGATTATTCCAATAAACATGACATTTGGAATCTGAAAATGTACTAATTTACTGAATGTACTGACAGCTTTTCACACCCGGTGACTCTTTGCCCGGCAGGTTCCCCGCAGTGAGGAAAAAGTTTATCTCTGAGCTAAAGGAGCTGAGACAGAAGGAGCAGAGTCCATACGTTATCCAGTCCACCATCAGCCTCATCATGGGACTCAAGTTTTTCCGCATCAAAATGTATCCAGTTGAAGACTTTGAAGCCTCTTTCCAGTTCATGCAGGTTAGTGCTGCAGAAATAATTTGTTTTTAGGCCTGTTCTATACATGAAAACAAAAACAGTCTCCATCCATCCATTTTTGATACCGCTATACCCTAATGGGGTCACGGGGGGACTGGAGCCTATCCCAGTAGTCAATGGGCGAGATGCGGGATACACCCTGGATGGTCCACCAGTCTCTGCTGTAGGAATATACACTTTTATACAACAGATGCACTCTCTCTATAAATCCTTTCTCATCTGAAAATATTTTAGAGATATCAATGAACAATCTACTTAACTTTAACTCTGATAATCGGGAGTCGCACTTTCCCTTTGATAAAAATTTGTGAGAATGTTTCTAATTTCCTTCCCCCATAACAAGGCAGAGGTTTAAATAATAATCCAATCTTGTTTCCTTCACTGTGACTGTCTCTGTGTGTCTTTATCTCTGCAGGAGTGTGCACACTATTTCTTGGAAGTGAAGGACAAAGACATTAAGCACTCATTAGCTGGACTCTTTGTGGAAATACTTGTACCTGTAGCTGCTGTAAGTGCATTTAATCTCATATGCTAAAGGCTGTGCCATTGAAATGTTTTCTTTGCCTTAACCAGAAAGTCTTTTGTTACTTCTGCTCAAAAAGTCTGAACGAGTTGTAGTGATGATAAGAAGGGAGGTTAGGCCCATTTAGTCGTTCAAATGTCTGCATCAAGTGGAAGCTCACCATGTTCTGCTTAAAGCATGTTCTCAAGATAACTATTACACTGTCCATCCTTCCCTAGACTGTGAAGAATGAGGTGAATGTTCCATGTCTCCGAAATTTTGTGGAGAGTTTGTATGATACAACTCTGGACCTGTCCTCTAGGAAAAAGCACTCTCTGGTAAGTTATCACTGGTCATCTCTCTTAATCTCCTCTACATTACCAGCATTTGTTGAAAGTATTTAACTCTGCCCTTCTGAAACAATCACTTTTTTTCTTCTTAAATAATTTTTGGATGCAAGAATTGCATGCTCTGGTTTTTTCCCCATTTTTTTTAATTAGTTCACGGACAGTATGAATGAAACTTTATCAAAGCTGGTGACCAAACTTCCAAACTTCTCAGAGATAGTATTCAGAAAACTCTTTTGTTGGTTCTGACAGTTGTAAAGGAAGAGTTTCACACATTATTAAATAAAATGGATAATAGCTCAATTACAACATTTAATATCTCATATACTAAAGCTAAGCTCAAAAGTCAGCTGACATAGTGCTTTCTAGCCTTTACATTTGTCAAGAAAGAATAAAAAGAAGTAAAATGTGTTCTTTTTTACATCGTAGTTAATCAGATTGGAAGGGTTTAGAAAAGAAAGACTGCCCCTTCTATCATCAGCTGAAAGTATTTTACTACAAAATTAACATATAATATAAATGAACATACTGAGAGATTTGATCATGTTGTCTAATAAGTGACTAATAGCTTAGATTTCTTTTTGTATTATTATGACATCAAGATATTTTTGAAGGATTCTCAGACTGTCAAGCAGCAATGTGTCTTTTACCAACCAGTGGAATGTGCTTCACAGCTGTTTGACTGGCATATTTACTTACAAGCATTGTCATTGAGCTGCCATTTGGCATTATTTTTGGTTTATGGTGACGTGCTATTTGTAAAATGTCCACTCCTTGGGCAGACAATTGCTTCTTCAGGCCTCAAGATATGGTGTTCTGCTGGTACAGTTGCTTCCTTTGAGGGATTCTTCACATACTCCATGCAACACACCTCTCCTCTCACAAATGTTTTTCCCACCTTTTTTCCAAAAAAACAGCTCAGAAAGCATGCAGAGCAACAGACAGTTACCTGTCGTGTCAGGTATAGCACAATGGACAGTTATGATAGGAATGGCAGTGATGTGGTCTTTTTTGTTTAATTGTTATGCTCATACATGCATGACTGCTTTAGTGAGAAGGCATTGACAACATGGGTGAGAGAATGATAACAAATCCAACCATGCTTGAAATGATGCGAAATGACAGCTACATTATGAGTTTTTCAAACTTTACATGGAAAAACATTCAATGAATGAGTGTTCCTTGGCTGAGTGTTATCATTAGTGAAGCTTTCTCAGTCAGGAACTTTGTTAAAAATCCATCTAATCTATCTTTTTTACATAGTTTTACATACTATTTTTGCTTTAATTGTGTTCTGAAAGGCTTCAGAGTGGCGTGGTGTTTAGTACCGTCTCCTCCCAGAGAGACTTCATGTTTGTATTATTTGATATGCATTGGTTCTCACAGGGTTCTGCCTCCATCCAAAAGCACACAAGTTAGATTAGTTTATATGGATGCTTTGTCTCTGTGGCCCAGTGCTGAACTAGTGGCCTCTCCATGAAATGGGTTAAGAAAATGTATGGCAGTTGTCTCCATAAAATAATATGAAGCAGTGACATTCCATGAGAGCTTCTGATAAGTTTATTTTGATAAATGATTGTTCATCTGGTCAGATATCTGTTACATATCTGCTGTAGAAAATTGGTAAGGAAGATATTCTGAATCTACAGTGTTTAATCTCCTATGGACTTCCACAACCTTACCATGTAATGTTCCTATCTACTCCAGGCTCTCTATCCTCTGGTGACGTGCCTGCTCTGTGTCAGTCAGAAGCAGTTCTTTCTCAGCCGCTGGCACATTTTCCTCAACAACTGCCTCTCAAACCTTAAGGTGAGCTTTTCTATCATTTCCATCCAAACACAAGAAGTGCAGTGTTAAGATTCCTTTGTGTTGTTTTCGTTTTACAGTCAGTGTTTAACAGGCACACTTGACTGTATACACTGTGTTATAAAATTCTGCCTGCAGGGAATGGCTTTGTTGAGGAGACAATGCATACACACAACTCTTAGCTTCACGCCACAGTACAATGTAGCAGTGCTACATAAATTATTTTCATCTGAAAAATGTTCCATCTCTATGAATTGCCGAAATACTGCCGGCTAAGAATAGAGTGATTACTGAACAGGGCCCATAAATACTTAGCCACACTATAAATTATGTTAAACCAGGGCAGGCTAGTCATTCTCTGAATTTTCCCTTGCCTGTAGGTTATATGATGCTTTAGCCACATTACTCTTAAACACCTGTTAGGTTGAGAGTAAACACTCAGGTAGATGTATGTGAAATACACATTGAAATGTAATTGATTAATTTATCTGCATGTTTGGGAATGCAGAATAAGGACCCCAAGATGGCGCGCGTCGCTCTTGAATCACTCTACCGCCTGCTTTGGGTCTACATGATCCGAATAAAGTGTGAAAGCAACACTGGAACACAGAGGTAACATTCAGCTAGAGTTTAAATGTAGTTTTTGAGACTCTGAAACAGCTGTTAGCATTAACATGTTTAGCTACCTGGTCTTTTGCTGATACCATAGACAAATGAAGTCTGTTGCTCTTCTTGTACTTGTTTTGTTGCGTGGTAAAATGAATTCTATCAAATTGCAAATAGCAGAGCAGGAGAATACCTCATTTTTCATGTTGATGGATCGTGCTTCTTTCTTTAAATTGAATTAGAAAAAATATCCTGAGTTTCCTTCCATGTGTTTCTTTCTCCTGTAGTCGACTGACATCCATCACGTCCACTCTGTTCCCCAAAGGCAGTCGCAGTGTTGTGCCCAGAGACATGCCCCTCAATATTTTTGTCAAAATCATCCAGTTTATTGCTCAGGTATGTGTGCCCAGGCTAGATATGAAAAGTCTATTTTCTCTAAAAATTGGAGTTTGTTTGGTTTGACTCTATTGTGATCTTGTCAAATTGAACAAATAGGGGCAGCAGGTGTACCTTCATAGCCTCTGTAACACCAGGATGTTTGTCCCCTATTCAGGAGAGACTCGATTTTGCCATGAAGGAGATCATATTTGATCTGCTCAGTGTTGGGAAGCCTGCCAAAGCCTTCAGTCTCAACCCAGAGGTAATAAGAGCAGACACAGGCCCCTCATTCATGTGCAAACAGTCACGCACAGTTCTAACAGTTGTATTACCAAAACGAGCACCAAAGTTTCTATGAGCTGCTGCTGCTATATGTTGTCTGTTGCAGCTTGAAATCATTCTTTATCAGAATTAGTTATTTAAAAGATGAGAAAACAAGCTTTTGCAATCTTTTTCTGTTGCTTTGCCTGATCTGCCTCCCAGCGTATGAACATCGGCCTACGTGCATTCCTGGTGATAGCAGATGCTCTGCAACAGAAGGATGGAGAGCCTCCTATGCCCAACACAGGAGCCACTCTACCCTCTGGCAACTCTCTGAAAAAGAAGAAAACATATCTCAGCAAGACACTCACCGAGGAGGAAGCCAAACTGATAGGTCTGTGTCTGCCTATAGGGCTTTGCACTGCTGTACATGTGATACAGTCACTGACTGAATATTTTGTGTATCTGGTTTCCACAGGCATGTCCTTGTACTACTCCCAGGTGCGTAAGGCTCTGGATAACATCCTAAGGCATTTGGACAAGGAGGTGGGTCGTTGTATGATGCTCACCAGTGTCCAGATGCTCAACAAAGAACCAGAGGATATGATCACGTCAGTACCTTCAGCACAGAGGACAACAGCCATTTATACATGTATTTTTTTTGTTTGCAAACAAGTTGAAAGTGCCTTTTTTCTTTTTTAGTGGTGAAAGGAAGCCTAAAATTGACCTGTTCAGGACATGTGTGGCTGCCATTCCTCGTATCCTTCCTGATAGCATGTCTAAACCGGAGCTCATTGACTTACTCTCACGGTGAATCTCTGTCCCTTGCTGTTATTACACATGTTGGAATTTTTCTGCAAAATCATACAATTTACTTTGGACATTCATGTCTAATTCACAGACTTACCGTGCACATGGATGATGAGCTTCGTCTAATTTCCCAGAACTCTCTGCAAAGCCTGTTACTTGATTTCTCAGACTGGAGGGAAGACGTCCTTTTTGGATACACTCATTTTCTTTTACGTGAGGTACAATAGAACTTCAGGAAATCCACCTACAACATAACCAGCAGAAATATGCAGACTTATGCAGTTTCCAATTACATTACATTGGCATTTAAACCACAAAGGTTAAGAAATGATCTCATGCATCATCTTATGCCATCTTATGCTAACGTACTGATCAACTCCTTTAGGTCCAAGACACTCATCAGGGTCTGCAGGATGCGTCTGTGAAGCTGCTTCTGCAGCTGCTCACTCAGTGGAGGCTGGCCCTGCAGCTTCAGGGAAAGACACGAGGTGGTGTTGAGGTTAGTGCAAAGACACCAGCCCAAACCAGCTGATTATTTCACTTTATTCTAGATTTTCTAGTGTTATCCTATTTGTGATGAGTCATCTCAGACATTACTGGTCTCAGTTTATTTGTTTTGAAATAAATGAATTAGATTTGTTCTCTCGTTGTCTTTTCCCTCCACAAGGCCAGTCCAAGACTACCAGACAGAAGTCCCCATTGCTCAGTGCTCCATGCAGTGGAGGGTCTTGCTCTGCTTCTCCTCTGCTCATGTCAGATCAGCACAAGAAAGCTTGCAGTTGGTGTTTTAAGGGAAATACGCTGCCTTTTCACAGCACTAGGACATGCAGAGGTACAGTGCTGAAAACACACATAAACAGTGAATGTTTTTTGTCATCTGTGTGTATTATTAGTTTCTGAACTATCATATATTGAATTATGTGATAAATATATCGGTAGGTTACAAGTTGTTTTGTGGGATTTAGATAAAACAGGGAAATAGCTGGGTGCAAGGGGAGTAATCTGGCTGTAGATTTGATTAGAGATACAACATTTGACACCTGTGAATTCTTTCTCATCATGTCACTCTGTTTTAAAAATATCTGTCTATAAATTTCACACCCTTCAGGATGATGACAAACCCATGATAGAGGTCATGGACCAGCTGAGCCCAGCTGTAATGGACAGCTTTGTTCATGTGGCTGTTTCTGACTCAGTGAGTACAAAATTAGTATGTCACGCTCAGTCCAGCACTATCTTACAAATGACTTATTTTACGGCTCTATGTTTCTCTCTGAATTCCCTTCTTTCCATGCCTCAGTCCACATTGCCTCTCAGCCACCATGTGGACCTCCAGTGGCTGGTTGAGTGGACCGCTCGGTTGGTGAGCAGTTCCTACGACGTGAAGAGCCCGAGCCATGTGTGGATCTTCGCGCTGTGTGTGAAGGACCCATGGGTGCTCTGTCTGCACATCTTCTTGCGACAGGAGCATCTTCCAAAACACTGCTCCATTGCTCTGGGATATGCCTGGCCCTACGTGTTCACACGGCTACAGCTGCTGCTGCCACTGGTTGACCCCAAGTACTAGAGCACACTTTAATTATTGATTATAATTCATATCAAGTGTACTGTACCTCCTAGACAAGGTCAAAACATGGTGAAATGCCTCCTCTTCTCTCTACACCTTTTTCCTGCAGCAGTCCAGTGAATGCAAAGAAGACCAGCACTGCTGGCACAAGCGACAGCTACATCTCCCTGTGGCGCAACTATCTGATACTGTGCCTGGGTGTGGCTAAACCGAGCATCATGTCCCCAGGCCACCTCAGGGCATCTACACCTGAGATCACAGCCACCACTCCTGACGGCAGTGTCACCTATGACAACAAGGTGTGTGTGTCTGCTAACAAAGACACCAGCCTGTCGGATCCTAAAAAGCCTTTCATTAAGTGACTCAAACCCTCAAACTAAAACCCTGTGCTTATTCATTTTTATAAATATGTATGCAATCATTGACTTGTTTTTTCATAGCAAGACTTGTAAAGGCTTTGCCAAAGTTTCTTTTTGACGTTCCAAAATCCCTCCCCAAATATTCCCAACATATTATGGGTTACTTAAAGATGTATCGGTTGTTAGTTGCAGACTAACAGTCTTTATACCACTTTAATATTTTTAAACTATGAGATCAGTTGTGGATGTGGATTTTAATGACAAGGAGTTAATCAAGAAATAATTGTATGTTTTTTTGTTAAAGGTAATAGGCACTCCCTCTGTGGCTTGGCTATTAAAACAGCTTGTTCCACTGATGAGAGCTGAGAGCCTGGAGATCACAGAGTCTCTGGTGCTGGGGTTTGGATGCACCAACGCCCTAGTCTTCAGGTAATGGAACAGAAACATATCATCCTGTGGTACATTCATTGCTTTTGGGTGTGAACCCTGAAAATGGAATGACGCTGGATAGATTAAGACAACAGTGCAAGGTGGATGATGTACACGATATGTACTTATCTCTTACCTAAGTCGCACATGTTTCTTTAGTGGCTTTCATGTTCCCTGCCATCATAACTTGCATGAGTTGCATAGTTTTGTCACATTCAAAGAAGAAAAAATGCGTCACTGATGTAGAGGAGGAATTCTTAGAGGGAAAGAGATGTATCACATTTTTTCAAAGGACAGAGGTTCTATTGTGGTAAGAAGGAATTTCATTTAAAAGGAGATAGTCTATTTTTAACCCAGAATGTTCTCTAGAAAGGAGTTCATTGTTATTAAAAAGATGAGTGTGTGACCAGATAAATGTTTCTGTCATTACCTTTCTAAGGATTAGTGATTTAAAGGGCATTTGATATTTGGGTTCCCATTGTCCCTGTAAATGATACCATCATCATGCCTTCTATGTAGCTTGTGATCCTCTGCTCCTAGCAGCCCTGAAATGAGGAAATCCTTTCATATCTGCTGCATCTTATTTGCAGGGAACTGGTCGAAGAACTCCATCCACTGATGAAGGAGGCACTAGAACGAAGGCCTGAGGTAACTCACTCACACCAGTACAGTGAAAGAGAGAAACAGACAGCACAACCCTAACGATCTCTGATAAATTCATGGTTAAACAGAATATTGATATGTTAGAGTCAAATACAGAGTTGGATTGGTATTTACAATAAATCATTAGAATATGAAAGTTATTTTTTTAAGTATTATGGCTCGCCATCTCTTAGCTCTCTGTCAATTTTGTAAATCCTCAGTGATAATTTTCTGCACATACAGATAAACTGTACATTATTATTGATCATAACATACAGTACACCGTTATACTGACACCCTATCTATGCTTTCAGAACAAAAAGCGCAGAGAGAGGAGAGATCTCCTCCGGCTGCAGCTGCTCAGGATCTTTGAACTGCTTGCAAATGCAGGAGTTATCAGTGACAGGTAGCTCGGTATTTGTTGTCATCATGTGGATGTTTCTTTAAGTACCCAGGCATGCGGCCTTTACTCAAACAGTGGTTGAATGAAATGGGTGTTGCGTGACCCCTCCTGTTTTTTCAGTCAGGAAAATGTAGCAGGCGGAACTAATGTTTCAGTATCGGATTATTCTGACTCATTCTAAGTTTGCACAACAAACAGACCCTGCCTCTGTAGCGATTAACCTGACAGACACAAAAGAGTGTGACAGAGAGTAGAAACTGTGCAAAAGGAGTAGAGGATTTGGGAAATACATTACAGGGATGAAAAGAGAAAAACACAACATTTTAGATCCAGACAAGACAAATGACAGACAAGGGACCATAACTCTGATCAATTACCAAAATCCAAGGCAGATTTGTTTCCATTGGTTTAATAAGGAATGTGTTGTAAAATAAGGATAAACTCTATGAAACTCTAATTCTGAAATCTTCTGGCCTATAATAAATTAATATTGCTTTAGAAACAATGGCAAGAGTGACTAATCAAGGAAAATTAATCTTAATTACCAGATATAAGACACACATTTGTTTAGATTTAACTTGGAAAAGATCTGTGTGGAAAAAGACTAATTGTGCTTACTACTGTGATAGGATTGAGCTTTCAAATATGAGCTATTTCTATTAGCACAGATGGCACAGGTTATTTTAATTCTTCAAAAAAGCTGACCATATCCTTTCTTTTTTTAATCAAAGGCTGATAAAGCTGTGAAGTTTTTTTTTAATAGCACTAAAAAAGGGACATTTCTATTTGGATTTTTTTTTCTTCCCAAAGGCTCATGACAAAAGTAATTTGAGAAGCATTGGTTTAGTTTGGGTCTCATGTCAAAACTCTTAACTGTAAGAATTTGAGTATTTATTTTATATGATCTGAGCTGCCTCCATCTGTAACCTGTGGCCTCTTTCTTTTTCTTACTACAGCACTAATGGGGCTTTAGAACGTGACTCCCTAGCACTGGGTGCTTTGTTCCTCGAGTATGTTGATCTAACTCGAATGCTTCTGGAAGCTGAAAATGAGAAGGAGCTGGACGTCCTCAAAGACATCAGAGCCCATTTCAGTGGGATGGTGGCTAATCTCATCCAGTGTGTTCCCGGTAAATTATTATTACTAAGTTTGCCTTTTCAATTTAGCTAGGTTTTTTAGTATACGCGTTCATTTAAACTCCTTATTGATAAGAAATGTTATTTGAAGTTATCTTTTATGTCTCATTTCTGTGCAGTCCACCACAGGCGCTTCCTCTTCCCTCAACAGTCTCTGAGGCATCATCTCTTCATTCTCTTCAGCCAGTGGGCTGGACCCTTCAGTGTTATGTTCACCCCCCTTGATCGTTACAGTGACCGTAACCATCAGATCACTCGCTATCAGTACTGTGCACTCAAGGTTAGCAGTACCTGTGTTCCCAAATTTTGCTGTACAGGAACTTTGACATGTTTACAAAAACCCTACAATGAGTTCTTCATTTGTCTTCCAGGCCATGTCAGCAGTTTTGTGTTGCGGTCCAGTTTTTGATAATGTTGGTCTGTCCACCGATGGCTATCTCTACAAATGGCTTGACAATATCCTGGCCTGTCATGACCTACGGGTAATTAAGCTATGGAACTGCTGTTTTAAAAAATAAAACTTCTGATGCATCATTTTTTTGCATGGCTTCAGTTATCTGTTAATGTTAAAGAACCTCCATTTTCTCCTTAAGCATATCATTAAAATCACAGTTTTTCTCAATTCTATTCTGAGCTGTTTTCTACCAGGTTAGTTGTGTATCTACATGATGACATGTCATTGCCATTAGGTGCACCGTTTGGGGTGTGAGGTGGTCATCCTGCTTTTAGAGCTGAACCCTGATCAAATCAATCTGTTCAACTGGGCCGTGGACCGATGTTTCACTGGATCTCACCAACTGGCATCCGGCTGCTTCAAGGCCATCGCCACAGTCTGTGGCAGCAGGTTGGTAATTCTTCGTTTGTACCAGTGTGTTCCACTCTGCCCTCCGGATATTTCCGCATGTCAAAAAAGACAACTTCCTGGAATGGCTACAAATTTCTGAAGACAGAGCAGTTGATTTTATTGTTGCCAGTATAATGTATATAAAAATCAATTGTATACTTAATAAACATTATTCACCATTTTCTGAGTTTTGCAAGAAAATTGTTATAAAAACAATTGGTAACAAATGGCAGCTTTCTTGTAATGAAGACCTTTTTACTTTTGTCACCAGCACCCTCACTGCCCACATACCTGTTCACATTCACAAAATTTTCAGCTTAACCAGCAACTCAGCAGTTTCTGTTTATTTTTCCAGGAATTACCCCTGTGACCTGGTGACTTTGCTCAATCTTGTGCTTTTCAAAGCCTCAGACACAAACAGGGAAATATATGAAATCTCCATGCAGCTGATGCAGGTAGGATAAGGTTACAGTTTTTTTTATTGTTCATAAACTGCATATAAAGGTGGAAAAATTACTTTTTTAATCCCCAAACTACTAACTAAAGATACCTAACATGTGCTCAGGTGCTGGAATCCAAGCTGTGTGCATATTCTAAGCGCATGGTGGAGCAGAAGCCCAGTAATATATTGTATGGAACACATGGCCCCCTGCCTCCCCTGTATAGTGTCAACCTCTGTCAGCTCTCCATCCAGCTTGCAAGCATGTACCCAGAGCTCACACTGCCTCTTTTCTCAGGTAAACCTCCCATTTTTTAAAACATTTAGATAGATTTATATTCTGGATTTTCTTTTGTTTATTTTGGCAACAGATTTCCATCCTAAATGCCTAAATCGCTGTAAATGAAGACTCCGATGTTAATTTCGGCATTAGTAATGTGATATAAATTATCAAAGGATTCACATAAGATGAATACTTTAATTTAGTGAATACAGAATATACTTAGTTTTGCTCAAATAAAATCTACTACTACTTTCATATTCAAAGTCAGCCTGGCTGTTGATCATTGACAGTGTGTGCCTCTTGTAACTGAAGCCCTCCAAAGAATGTGCAGCTTCCCCAGGAATATGACTGTACATGATCATTTTCTTGAAATATTTTTGTTCACGCAGAGGTGAGCCAGCGTTTCCCCACCACCCATCCCAATGGCCGACAGATCATGCTATCCTACCTGCTACCCTGGCTGAGTAATATTGAACTTGTGGACACTGGGCTCATACCTCCTGCTTCAAGCCCCTGCACACCTGAGGAAGAGCCTCGGGGTCAAGGCCAGGGTATGACTCCCAGTCTAAGAGGTAATGGCTGGGGATCCTTACAGGCAACTTCACTGGTGCTCAACAACCTCATGTTCATGACAGCAAAGGTAAGAATCACTGTTTTTTATTTTTTTTCTTACTGAAATGAACCTGTCTTCTTTTAACTAGATAATTAGATTTTTGTTGTTTAAATGATCAGTATGGAGATGAGGTTCCCGGACCAGAAATTGAGAATGCCTGGAATGCTCTGGTGTCCAACGAGAGGTGGAGCAACAACTTGAGGATTACGCTGCAATTCCTTATCAGCCTGTGTGGAGTCAGCAGTGATACCACTCTGTTACCTTATGTGAGTAATGTTAAATGATAAACACAAAGGTTTTAAAATATAGGATTTGATTATGAGGATACGCATCCAAAAAAATGTCTTCCTTTCTAAAAAAGAATAATTTTGAATATATGTTTTAGATCAAGAAGGTTGTGATCTACTTGTGTCGCAACAACACCATTCAGACCATGGAGGAGCTCCTGTTTGAGCTGCAGCAGACTGATCCAGTCAACCCTGTGGTTTTGCACTGCGATAACCCTCCCTTCTATCGCTTTGCTGCCAGCAGCAAAGCCTCCACTTCCCAGACAGGTGAACACATATGATCTTGTGATTCTACGGCTTTGTACATGACAGATAATTGACTGTGTGGAATTTCTAAAAAAAAAAATGCCTTCAACGTTTTCCGTGCAGGCACCACATCCAGCAGTAACACAGTAGTGGCTGGTCAGGATAACCTGCCGGACACAGATGAGAGCAAGCTGGTCAGGGACAAGGAGGAGCGGTTAGTATTATTGTATTTTGATAAATGTGTATTAAGAGACAAGATGCCAGCTTGGGCTGTCACTGGGGGACCAATTAATTTCAAGAGTTTGATGTCCCCTAAAAGGCTAATGTACAGTGATAGAGTATGTCAGACATCATATCAGTTCCACAGTTATAATTTCATTGGACTGAAAGGTGTGAAAAATCTGAGTCAAACTTCCCTTTTAGTGTCATGTCATATTTCAGCAGGGCGAGGGCTCACAACAGACTGGAGTCCCGCTACAGCAACAGCTCTGGGGGTTCCTATGAAGATGAAAAAAGTAAGTTGTCATGGTTCTCATGACAATGAGTGAACATACTTACTGAATTTATAAAAATTTGTAATTACAGATATTGCAGGCTGTTATCTGAAGAAAACTCTGGAAGATTGATTTTTCTTTCAGACTTCATTATAGCTTTAGATTTTAATGATGATCGTTATCAATTACTTTCATACAAACAAGTTTTTGTGGTCAAAATCACAGGTCTCTTTTAGGAGGCTGTGTTTGAGCTGTCGTCAGCTAAGTATAAAATCAGTTCCATTTGATCAAAAAGTCAATGCTGGATACAGCGGTTTCATCAAGCACTTAAAAATAAGAGCTAGTAGTTTTATGATGCCTGAGATTTTCCAGACTATATGTATTCAATGCCAAGTTTACAACGTGTATTTGTAAAAGTATTGTGTAAAAAGAAAAGGGTTCAGCATGTTAACAAGTTATTAATAGAAAAAACTTTACAGTGGTATGAATTTGCATAAACCCTTAAATGAAAATAGACTGCCTGAAAGTTCAGCCCATATAACAATAAAATGAATTTCTAACATGAAAAATGTTTTTTTTTAATAGCTGACCCACTACCACCATATGCTGGATGGCTACTGGGTGTCTTGGAGACCAACCATCCCCAGCCTTTACCAATGCCTGTTAACGGAGGCTGCTGGGCACCTCTGGTTGACTACCTTCCTGAGACCATCACCCCTAGAGGACCTCTGCATAGGTATACCCAAGCAGCATACACTGCACAGACTGTCTACTCCAAAATGACAACAGAGAGGAAACGCAGCACAGGAACTGATGAGTTGGCAAACCATTTAGTCTTTTGCACAAACCTGTCAAACCTAATTAGAGATGATCTTATAAACTCTGAGGGAAAAGGAGCTTTCTTCTGATTTATTTTAGAATAGATTTGTCCAATCATCTGCTTTTCTTGACTGAATTAGACTTAAATATGATTAAATGTAATAAACCTTTAAGCAAAAAAATCTAACTTTGTATCGAGGTAGCTCACAGAAAGCTGGCTGCAGTGTACTTATTCAAATATATTAACTAGATAAAAAACTGGTAAAATCTAAATTGCACATGGATATTTTGCCGAACGGATTTAAGAATGAAATTTTGTTTTTGTTCCAATTTTCATGAGATGTCCCACATGAGAAGCAGCAGGAAAAACATTTTCTGAGCTGTTTTTTCGGGATTCTGCATATGATCTTTGAGACTCTACACCTTGAAGGATGGCTATGCTGCTGTAAAAAATGGAAAATATAATGTATTTTACTGTGACCTCAGCAGTTCTATGTTGTGCTGGTGTTCAGGTGTAACATTGCCGTCATCTTTATGACTGAAATGGTGGTGGACCACAGCGTGAGAGAGGACTGGGCTTTGCACTTGCCTTTACTTCTACATGCTCTGTTTTTGGGTAGGTTCACACAAAACATGCACAGCTTTGGTAAGGCTTCGTCTAATCATTTTGGGAAACATTGATATTCAGTTTAAATAAAAGAAAAAAAATGTACCATTTAATGGCCACTGATGACTTCAGGTGAACTTGCCAAAAAAATATCAGATCTAAAACCCCCATTTGAACCTTCCAAACTAAGTTTAGACACCAACAAGTACACATGAAAAAAACCTCAGAGAAATGCAGCTTTTTCAAGTCCAGTAAGTTCAAAGTGTAACAGTGTAAGTACATCAAGTACATATCTCTCACGGAAAACTTATCCTGTAAGCAGCGTAGACATATTTTATTACATATTCCGCATACTCCGCATACTCAGATAGGCTGCATGTTTTCATGCATTCTTAGTTTCTGGGAATGCGCTGTTGTGGAAGAATCCATGCTGTGTTGTCTCACTAACTGACAATGTTGTGGAATAAATGTTGTGGATGGATGTTTCATTTGACAGGTCTGGACCATTACAGACCAGAGGTCTATGAGCACAGCAAACGTCTCCTTCTCCATCTCCTCATTGCGCTCTCCTGTAATAACAACTTTCAGGTCAGATGATAAGTTTCACTGTAACACACACAGTGAGGTATGATAGAAGATGGAATGGTTACTGCAAAATTTATTTTAACTGACAAACATCTCTTTATTGTTTTCCAGGTAATAGCCTCAGTTCTGATGCTGACGAGGGAGATCAGTGACAACAAGACGCTCACCATTAAATCAAATTACCACACCGAGTACCAGCAGTCACGTAAGTAGAAAATACTCAGTTGAATACAAGCTTGTCACTGGAGGAACACATTTTGCAGCTGATAAAACTATTAATGAAATAGTGACTGATATGATACTGTCCTCCTCTCCGCCATCACATGTAGATACACCTGACTTTCTGAGAGAGTGGCAGACATCTCCTGTGGTAGACTCGGGACTCAGCTCCACTTCCAACTCATCCTCGGCCAGTCTGGGGGGTGGCAGCACAGCAGGCAGTGTTGGAAATTTGCCCCTTGTCACACCTGATGAACTGGAGGATCTTGAGGATACACCCAATGAGACAGATGAGAAGACAAACAAACTCATCGAGTTCCTCTCCACTAGGTAAACAACTCCTGTCATCTGTTGTGAAATTTGACAGGAGCCACTGAGGTACTTTGGCATGCAAGTGTACCGTGTGTTTATTTGTGTGTGAAAACACGGTTGTTCAGCAGTGTCTTCGTGACACATTTAAGTGCTTAACTTGTATGTGGTGCTACTGGTGGTGGGTATACAGTGCCTGGAGTACTGTGTTGTTGTTGCTCAGAGCATTTGGGCCACTTTGGGCGCATGAGGACATCACTCCTAAGAACCCCAATTCCAAAAGCACGGATCAGCTTTCCAACTTCCTACGACATGTCATCTCTGTGCTCAAGGAATCCAAGTCTGGTGAGGAATAGCTCATTTAATTACCAATTCCTTCAATTGCATAACAATCATCTTGGAGGATGGATGTACCTATGTATGTGTTTCTATGTCTTTCTCCTCATATCTGCGCAGACTTTCACCTGGAGCAGCAGCTGAGCGACGTTGCTTTACAGACAGCTCTGTGCAGCTCCTCTCGCCACTATGCTGGCCGTTCTTTCCAGATCTTCAGAGCCCTCAAACAGCCGATCAACAACCACGCTGTCTCAGACCTGGTCTCACGCCTTGTAGAGGTGGTAGGAGAACATGGAGATGAGGTGCAGGTGAGCGCTAGATTTAAAGAACTGGATTGTGAAGATCTGAAGTATGTGTGTGAGATCTCTATGTAATTGAGCACATCTGGGTTTCAGGGCTATGTGATGGAGGTGCTGTTAACGCTGGAGTCAGTGGTGGTGAATCTAGCTGAGTGCCTGAAAAACAGTGACCTTATGGCTGCTCTTACCAGGTAGGCTTCTGAGTTTTTCAATATCTATGAAATCCTCCTGACAGTTATTTGTTTTTTGAAGGCTTTCTTTCTTTAGAATCATAAGTCATGTATTTATAGCCAAGATTATGATCTAAGGATTATGTTAACCTTCATGTCTTGGCTTGTCTTTTTTTTTAACTCCCAGTGTGTTTGTGTAGATTCTCAGTCATCCAGGTCATGGTAAAGTACAAAACTTAACGCCTCTGTTTTTATTATGTTTTCTTCATAGGACATCCTCTCCCGACTTTGTAACAAGTGACAAACTGATGAACAGAAAGAGCACAGGTCAGCTGAACTTCCCTGGTCCAGGTTTTGCTGGCCTTTCATCCCAGCGCCATCAGCGTTCGTATTCAGTCCCCAAGAAATTTGGCGAGTGTGGCAACCTGTCCTGTGACCCCCCTCGCAGTGCCACTCTGGATCGAATACAGGTAAGAAATACAGCTGTTTTACAGTCTAATATGAAGACATTTGGAGCTTGTTTTAAATAGCTAAATTGGCACTCTTGTTCAATCTACAGGCTGGCAACGGTCATGGTCTTGCCCGGATAGCAAGAACCCCAGGGTCTTGCACATCATCTACCAATCGCATTGATCCCAGTGTTCTGTCAGACCCTGCACATGTTTCCCACCCATCATCAATACTGGCAACTGTCTTCTGGGTAGCAGTTTCACTCATGGAGTCAGACTTTGAATTTGAATACCAGATGTCCCTTCGCCTTGTTCACAAGCTGCTGTCAAAGGTAGATGAGAAATAATCTAATGACAGATCTTTACAAAATTGATTGAATCTAATGTTATACCACAGTTAAGATAAAAGTAAAAAGTGTTAGCAATGCACTTCTACTGAACTGCAGCCAGCTGTGAATCCATTTAAGTGTGTGATCCTTTTTCCAATGAAAGCTCAAGAATTCTCTGAAACAACCTTTGTTTGCAGGTGCCTTTAGATAGAGCTGAGAACCGTGAGCGCCTGGAGAAGCTGCAGGCTCAGCTGGGATGGACTGGGTTCTCTGGGATTCAGCAGCTTTTGTTAAAGGGTTTTACCTCCCAGACGACCTCTGACCTCACTTTACAACTCTTCTGCCAACTCACGCCAGTCTCTCGTGTGCCTGTTGTTGACAGCTCACAGTCTATAGGTAGATTTTGTGTAATGCTTTCCTGCTATACTTCTTTATATACTGATCTTAAAAGCATTGGTAAAGTCTGTGACTCCATTTATGCTTTGTTAGACTGAAGCTCAGCCTCCTCTCCTTATGTAGGTTTTCCTCTGAATGTGCTGTGTCTGCTGCCTCACCTGGTGCAGCACTTTGGCCATCCAACGCAGTTTTGTAAGGAGAGTGCTGAAAGGATTGCACAGGTACAATCATTCTGTAGATTCCCTATTCTTTCTTCTGCATCTTTTTTAGAATGTTAGGCTTACTTAGGCTCTAAGTAAGCATTATTAGACTGGGAAACTAGCGGAAAAAAATCCACTTGTATACATTTGAAAACAATTGGGAGCCAAAGCGGTTTAAAAGCGCATCACAAGGCAGTTCAGAAGACAAAACTGTAGCACATCTATTTCTGTTGTAGTCTGTGTGAATTTCGGATTCTCTTCCATTTCTCAGGTGTGTTTAGTGGAGAAGAACACAAAGCTTTCCCATCTGGCACATGTTATGACTCTCTATAAGACACGCTCCTACACACGGGACCCATTCTCTTGGGTCAGTGTAGTTTGTCGATACCTGCATGAGGCTTTCTCCAACATCACACTCAATATGGTCACATATATGGCTGAGGTAAGTGCTGGCAAATATCCATTACTTCCCATATTTTGAGCATCACAAAGTTACACGTGTTTGACACTTTGATTTATTCATTTCATTGCATTTCATTACATTTATCTATTTTTGTCTCACAAAGTATTTATTTGATATTTTGTAGAAATGCTATTCTGTTTAAATTATAAGCATTATAAGCATACACCAACTCTGTTTAAAAGACAGATTTTTTAACCTTATTTTGTCACTCACCAAATGCTCTTCTTTGTCTTTCAGTTATTGGACAAGGGCCTTCCCAGTATGCAACAGTCTCTCCTTCAGATCATCTACTGTCTGCTGAGTCACATGGACCTGTCTGCTGTATCGGTCAAACAGTTCAACGCTGATGTCATGAAGACTATAGAGAAGTTCGTCCATGTAAGTGTACTATGGTGCTTAGTACAGTTTCTTTTGGTTTCTTTGTGTCATTGTGTGACAAACAGTTGTCTGCTCTCCCTCTCTGTTTAAAATGGGGTTTTCACAGACAATACACTGGAAAGACGCTTTAAACATCTTAAAGCTAGTCGTCTCACGCTCTGCCAGCCTAGTGCATCCTGTGTACGGCCAAACACAGGGGGACCTTTCCAACCTAGAGGTCAGCAGAGTGTGGGACGGATCGGCCAAGGCTCTGCCAGGGAAAACACTGGATTTCACTTTTGACATCTCTGAGGTAAAAAAGAAACTGATCTTAGGGTCTTTAAAGTGCTTGCTTTCCTCTCAATTTTACAGTGTTCTGCTCCACGAAACACAATCATAGATAAAACAGGGTGTTTTAAGGTATACAAACCACCCAAAAATACACGCTGAATTCATTCCGTGGTTTTCACAGACACCAGTCATCGGTCGCCGCTTTGATGGGCTTCAGGGTTCGGGGGGGAGAGATGGCAAGGCTAGAGCCATGGCTGTCACCCGCAGTACCTCCTCCACCTCCTCTGGTTCAAATTCCAACACCATCCTGGTGCCTGTCAGCTGGAGGCGGCCACAATCATCTCAGGTTGTTCTAGTTTTATTTATAAGATGCAAGTTATGCAAATTATAACAGAAAATCTTATAACAGAATAGTACAGTGTGCTAAAGGCTAAATGAGGATGTTTTTAGAATTAACATAATGTTTCCTTGATATAAAAATAAGCAATATGCAATTGGTGCCCAAAGTCAATACCAAAACCAAATTAACAGAGTTTCTTTCTTTTTCCTCTGTGACTAATGTTTGTATTTGTTGCCATCTTTCTACCACACAGAAAAGAACCAGAGAGAAGCTAGTGAGCGTCTTGTCTCTTTGTGGACAGGAAGTTGGACTCACCAAGAATCCATCGGTGAGCTGTCCCAGTTGATGAACATTAGTGAACAAGAACTAAAAGCTAACATGAACAAGCTGTGAAGATCCATGAATTTGAAGCAGTTTTTATGACGTTCGCTGCATCACTCATCAGTGCCATCCATTTTTTATCTACAGGTGATCTTCTCATCCTGTGGTGACTTGGATATGATGGAGGTGCGAGAGAGTGGAGTGTCATCTGAGGAAGGTGGCACCCGAGAGGACACATTAGATGACACTGCCAGTGAGCAGCAGTTCAGGGTTTTCCGAGACTTTGACTTCCTGGATGTGGAGTTGGAGGACGGAGAGGTGTGAATCTCTTAACTCTTTTTTCTATCCACTGTCATTTGGTCAACAGTCGATGAATTGTCTCCATAGTTTCATCCCTTCCCCGTTAACATATTTGAAAAGTATTTCTGTGTTGCTCCCCGTCTCTGTCTGTCTAACGCTGTGTCTTTCTCTCTCCCCTTGCTGCCCAGGAGCTCCAGGTAAGGTGTCCCATTCTGAGCATTAAACATTAGCCTTTTCAGCTCTGTGGTGTTGCTCGCTCCTTTTTCTGTTCCTGGAAAAAATATCATGACCGCTTTACTTGGCTTTCACATCTTGGTCGCAGTATTTCTGCCATTTAAGTCTTTTTGGGACAGGTTTTGCTGAATGTAAACTGCCTTTCCAACATATTTTCATGCCATGAATAACAGTTTATTTTGCATCGTGTGCTTGTAAATATGGCAACCTTTCATTATTTTGAATGTTAACCCAAAAATGTTCTCAACTCTTTGAAATCTACTGCTACCGTTGCTTCTGCTTTTGTCGTCCAATGTGCGTGTGTGATTGTGTTTCATATAGGGCGAGACTGTTGATAATTTTAATTGGGGCGTGCGTCGGCGATCTCTGGACAGCACCGAACTGGGCGACCTGTTAGAGGAAAGCCAGCACTCAGGCAGCACCCCCAGTTTGGGTCACGAAGACCCACACGATTCGGATGAGTCGTCAGAGGAGGAGGAGTCATCAACTAGCCAGAGCCTCTCCCATTCTCAGCTCGTGAGTGTCCTTAACAGTTGGATCGATACAGTGTTAACCTTTATTAGAGTCTGAAAAAAAACATAATTTTGATGTATAATCTCCCATCATGTTCCAGACTAACCCATCTCCATCAGAGGAAACCAACCAAACAGATTCTCTGTCTACTTCTTATGACACATCGGCCGACCCCCCGTCGTTCAATGCTACCACTCCAGGCCAGGGAGTTCTGCCTGATGATCACAGTGGACTCAATGTGAGGAAAACCGAGCTCATATTTTCCTCAGCTCTGACTTGTCTGTGGATTTAGAAGCATGAGATTTGATGAAACACAATGTCGCTACCCCCCTAGGTGAGAGTTTGTGGTGAGGACGAGGACACTCAAGCTCAGGATGATGAACTGTCTTTGAGCGTCAATGAGCTACCTCATGGCTCAGACTGTGGTGAGAGCTTCACTCTGGAGTTGCCCGGTCAATCTCAGGATCCGCTGGCAAACCTCGACCATGGTCTCAGTGCGCACTTCTGCCAACCTCCGCTTGACTTTCTAGACCCAAACTGTCTACCCAGGTATTATTTGTGGAATATCCTTTAATGTTAAACTGTTTGAGTAGTGTTTTCTCCTTCATACATCCTTCACACAATGTCACCCAAGCTCCTACCATGAATCATTTTGACATGTTTTTATTCTCATCCCCACGGACACAGCTTACGCGATGATGTGGATGATTTGGAAGACCTCGGGTTTCCTCCTCCCCCCTCTCCATTTTTCTCTGCCATCTTGGCGGCGTTCCAGCCCATAGTGTGTGATGACGCTGAGGAGGCATGGCGTTGTCATGTTAACCAGCTTGTGACTGACTCAGATGGGTCCTGTGCTGTTTACACTTTTCAAGTCTTCTCATCTCTCTTCAAGGTAATTCAAGGTTCATGGCACTGTTTTTCTCTTTTAGTTTTTAACTATTTTATCTCTTCAAGCAGCACCTCACATGCGGTAGGCTTTGCATCAAGAACAGCACATTCATTCCACAAATATCCTTCCTTTTGCAGAACATCCAGGGTAAATTCTGCACCTTGACTACTGATGTTGCCACCTACCTTGGTGAGGGATTAAGGGGCATTGGATCAAAGTTTCTTAGGTCCTCACAGATGTTAACCACATGCTCAGACTGTCCTACAATCTACATTGATGCTGACACGGTGTGTACTCTCATTTGAGTCCAGTGACTTGGTCGTGATTAAAGCACGTTGGTTGGTTGAAACTTTTAAGAAGATGAAATATTTTTTTTACCATATCTTTTCCTTGCATTGGTCTTTCTAGATCATGTCCTATGGTCTTCTTGAAAAGATGAAGTTCAGTGCGCTGGAGCTGCAGGAGTACCTGGACACGTACAACACCAAAGAGGAGTCTGCTGTGACGGTAACTGAACTGCTAGAAATGACTAATTGTGTTATCTTTATCAATGTTATGTTTCCATGAAAAAAATGCTCACCACCTCTTTTAAATGCTGTACTTCAGTGGCTGAGGAACTGTAAGGATACATTTCCAAGGTGTCCTGGTGACAGTGTGGTCACCTGCCAACCTGGAGATTCAGAGGAGAAGGTACAGACAGATTCAAAATTCACAATTGACTTCCCATAAGATTAAAGTTTAGAATAAAGAAGAAAACATACTCTAGCTCAAAGTAACGTTATGCTTCACATCTCTGCTGCTTCTCTGTGATGTTTGTCTCACTGAGATGTTTTCAGCCTTTGCTTGTTACTGTGGTTTATTTTTGGCCTCAAACCTTTTCTACTGAATAAATAGAAATTAAATGTGCTGTCTTTTTGCACTGTTGACTAATTCTCAGTAGCCTGACTATTGGTAGTCATGGTGACTTTAATGCTTTGCATGTGTTTGATTGATGCTCTGTGTTCCTCTCACCTCATTTTGACGCCCTAACATGCTCTCACGCTGTCTAGCAAATGGAGTCTCTTGCAGTAAGTTTTCTTAAAAGTTTCTTCACTTTGCTGCTGCAGATATCTCTGAAAAAATAGCTTACTTTCCACAAGACTATCAGCTTGTTTAACTTGAGGTCTTTTTTATGTTTTTGTGCATATGTGCAGGGAATAGGTGAATATGATTTTGTACTCATAATTCCTCTGGTGTTTTTTTATTTGACTCAAAGCAACTGGAACTGTGTCAGAGGCTTTACAAGCTGCACTTCCAGCTCCTCCTACTGTTTCAGTCCTACTGCTCCCTGATTGGTCAAGTTCATGCCATCAGCTCAGTACCTGAGGTGAGTCAAATCTAATTCAATATAGACATCACAATCAGTCTAATGCAATGTAGCTGTTAAGGAAAGACTGTAAGAAACAGGCAGTGTTGTTTTTGTGGTGACATTAATCACTGCTGCCCTCTGACCTGTCAGCTGCTGAACATGTCACGAGAGCTCACCGATCTGAGGACAAGCCTGCAGGCGGCTGAGGCGGCCGTGGCCAGCGACTTGGAACACAAACACTTGGCCCACACTCATGCACACGCCACTCAGGTGGCAGCCATGGTTGTGCCAAGCTTCACCAGTTCGGAGGAAGCTGTGCAGGCCATACTAGAGTGCCTTAGGAATCATGAGTTCACCAAAGCCGTTCGGTATATCCAGGAATGCAGGTGAGAAACTATTCTACAAAACGACTCAAACACCTTGTCACATACCCCCACACAATGTATCACTTTGTCTTCCATTAACCTGTTCCAATTCCCTTTTGTCTTCTTTTCAGGAGGCAGTGGCCTAACGGTGTGTTTGGCGGTGGATCAGAGAGTGAGGTTCATACGCTGCTCAATGTTTACTTTCGTCACCAAACTCTGGGCCAGACCGGCACAATAGCCCTGGTCGGCTCCCGACAGGACCTGAGTCTGATCTGCTCCAAGCTGCTGGAGCTCAACGGGGAGATCCGCGACATGATCCGCCGCGCCCAGGGTTACCGGGTCGTCACAACTTACCTCCCCGACTCCAGCGCCTCCGGGACCAGCCTCTGACAGGACCTCAGGAGCCCCCCAACCCCTCCGCCCCCACCTTTACCTCCCCCGTTTCTGCAGCCGCTGATCCTTCCAAAAACACTTCCATCTATCACTCTGCCCTCTCACCCTGCTCACACAGAAGGAGCACAGCACCCACATACGTGGCCCCTTCCTCCTCCAGCATGTCTGCTGGACCGGCTTCACAGATCCAGACAGATACCTGCTTACAGCCCGGCTCAGCCCTAAGTCTGAAACCATATCCATACCATAACCTAAAGCTTCCCCTGCTATCGCCCCTGTCACCCACTGTTGACTCTCATGCTTCTTTTCATAACTTTCCAAAATCGCGAGACCTGTTTTCATCACACAGCTGCACAAACACACCGGATTTTACATTGCCACGCACAAGACAGCCAACAAAGACTTATCTGAGCGAGAATACTAGTCTTTATTATCCTCTCAGAGGATATCCTTCACATCCACACAACAAAAAGCGCTTAATATCGTCACTTTCATCGAACATGCTTCCCACGGTGGCCTCAGAGCCAGCCATACTGGAACACTCTGCATCGTCTCTCTCCTCTCGAGATTCACATCTCCCCCATTTCCCCTGCTCTCCATACAAACACTCACGCACATCCTCACTTCTGCATCCGGGTCAGGACACAGTCTTAACCCAAGGCCCTGCTCCGTCTTTATCCCTCCCCCCTCCCCAGCCTCTCCCTCCCTGCCCCACTGGCCCAGAAGAGCCTGCGGCGTGGGGGTGTTGCTGCTCCCTGCGGGGGGGCAGGACACCCTTATCGCGCTACCTGGGGAAGGTGGGGCAAGCCGCCCTGCCCCTGCTTTCAGCAGGGGGGCTCCTGAATACTGAACCGTCTGACGTCCAGACCTGAGACGACAAAGTTATCACTACAGAGGGCCTAAAAAGCTTCAACGTCTGTGAATACAAGAACCTAAAACTGATCGACCTCAACGCTTTGTCTGAAAAAGCAGACAGTGACACATCCCAAGGATTTTACACATCGATGCCAGAACCCAGTGGATTCTGCAGATTGCCGTCTACGTGATTCTGTCCAAGCATTAGCTTTGCTCCACCTCTACCAGGGTGAAAATATCATGATCCATTAATTCCTGCTTGATGGTCGTCAAACAGCAGCTTCTCTGCTCTGCACCTGAGGACCTGTGAAGGCTTTGAGCTTGGATTTCTTACTTGCTTCCCAGAGGGACTGGCAGCATTCTTGACTGTCGCTGCCTCCTTCGGGAAGGATGTGGTCTGTTGGTGGCGCCACCAGAGACAGTGAGGAAATGACCTGAGACATTGCGTAGCATCATTGGAAGAATTCCTCTATTGCACTAAATGGGGTTTTTAGTATTAGTTTTCTTTTTTTATGTTACAGAGATGGAATTATGTTACTTTGAGAGAAACTTCTGTCTCTTTTACAGAGAAGGAAAAGCCTAATGTTGGGGTGACTTTTCTCTCTTATTGTATCTGCTGTTCTGAGACCTGCTTTGGAAGAAACTGTGCAATGCATGACCTAGTTGAATGCTCTCTACTGTACACTAGGATCCTTTGTGCCCGCCCCCAAGATATCCAGCTTCAGACTGGCTCAAAAACTGACGGAGCTGATGCAGTTTTCAAGCTGCTCTGACTCCGTTTATATTCTGTATCAGTGAAGCAGTTTATCCCCATTACTGTTGTGAACCCTGGTGGGCAGTTCATGTCATTATGTGTGTGTGTGGCATCGTTAGTGAGTGTACACACTATATTTCTCTCTGTCCTACACTGTTCCAAGTTAACCTTGTGTTCACTTGCCAAAAGGATGCTGCATGTACACTGAAATACTCTGTCCGTCTGTCTACTGTTCAGTCATGCTCACGCAGCCATTGTAGTCTGTTTGTGTGTGGTTTTGTAGTTAGGTACGCATAGGGGAAACGCTGACATTCAGCGCTCACTGTCAATGTTTAAAACGAAGCCAGTGCTTCTTCTGAACGCTTCCAGCCCTTTGAGTATCTCCCCCTCAGTTTCTCTCCAGGAGTCTTTGCCGTACACTTGTCTTGATTGCTATTTATATCTGATCATCTACACAACATTCATTTGACTTTTATATTGATGTTTGTTCCCTCAATTCAAACTGCCATGCATGCATTTCAGTGTACTGTATGGAGTGTTTGAACTATTTAAGTCATTTTATCTGAAAGATATTTGTATGAGGTGCAAAAGGGAGCTTGAAGCTCATGTGGGTGTGTGTTTTGTTTGCTTTTTTTTCCTGTGTGTGGGAGAACGCGTGTTTGCATGCTCAACAAGAACTTGCACATTTTTAAAGCTTTTTAGATGAAGACAGTCCTTTTTTCCACCATGTAAATAATTTTACAGCCTTTGTGAAGTTGTTTCAAAGCTCTGTACAAGTTGTCTCCAAGTAAAGACATCAAGATTATGAGTTCTGTTTTTCATTTCACTGGCTATGGTTATTTATGAAGGACTGGTTGAGCTCACCTTGTCAAATGCTGGTTCTGAGGCTCAAGTGTTGGACTGTAAAATGCTCTTTACAAGTAAATCCAGCCACATGCTGGGTGGGATTTCACATCTGGTTTGGAAAACCTTTTCCATACTTACTATATCCCGTTTAATATAGAACCACTAATCTATACAGACTCCCCAAAATAAACCACACGAGATTGCCAGGTATAGATAGGTTTGACATGGACTATGTCACTCTCAGAATGTTGACTATTCCACATTGTGGTTGCTTTGCATTATAATTTCCCCTCCTGCTCTCTTCAGTTAGATTTAAGGTTTGCTGTGATTGTTTTGCAGTTTATCATTCATATCCTTTATTTTACCTTACAGAAACAGATTTTGTCTGAAGTAGAACAGCAGCATTCGGTTTCTTACTGGCTGAAGAATGAGACACAAGTCATCTAAGGGCATTTGTGATGTGCTTTTATATTTCAGCCGGCATTGGCAAGACTTTAAACGTCAGATGCATCCAGATGTGCAGGCAGACAGCCGTGCTGGGCTGCTCAGACGATGTATTTGAAGCTGTAGGTAGCGTCGCAGGACAACCTTGTTCCTTTACAGCGGCAGCACAGGTCTTGGCGGTGAGGCCTCTTCATGTTAATGTGCCTCTGCTTCTTCTCACAGCTGCAGCACGTTTGAGAGCAACCCTGAGATACAGACAGCAAAGCAGAGGGAAGAATTAAGGGCACACCAACTGGAAAGGTCAGATCCCCGCTGTAGGATGTCAATCTAGATTTAAGGTATCCTTTAAAAAAGTATACTAGTCAAGTTTTTGTTTTTTTAATTGGGCAGGGCAAATTTGAAACGTATGGAAATATCTAAAATTCATCTTTTAGAAAGCAGTGGGACAATTACACTACCAGTTAGGCACAGTTCTAATGAAGACAGTCTGGTACCTTACAGATGATAGATTCCACTCTATAGGGATTAAACCCCACCTGACACATTCGGCAGAGCTGCTTGTAGTACACCTAACAGAATGAAACGCATATATGATTAAATCAATGCCATGTTACCAACAATCATTTATTTTACCGAGGTCAGTATTGGATAAGTTACCTTACTGGTTCCAGAGATGCACCAAACATAAGCACTCTCCCACCGGATGTTACACTTTTTACAGTGGAAAAAGCCATACCTCTGCTCCAGGAACTGACACAGGGAAAGTTTAAATATAAAGCCACAAAATATACACAAACCCATATTTTAATCAGCAGTACAACCTGTGGATTACTTGGTTTTAGTCCATTAGAATGTATGTCAACTGTATCAGAGTTATTCTACCATGTTAAACATTTTTTAACAAAAACGTTTGGCAATGAAGAAACAAATATATATATATTCTCAGACCCCACCTGAAAATTGGAGCCCTTGGGGGTCCTGCGGAAGTCGGTCCTGAAGTTCTTCTCGGCGGGCCCTCCGCTGGGCTCCGTGTCCGCATCGGGCTCCACCGGCTCGGGGCTTTCAGCCTCCTCGCAGTCGGTCAGGGTTTTCAGCAGCACCCTGCGGTCAAACACCGGCGAGTAGATGGACACGGGCCTGAGGAAGCGCAGGCTGCTGGCCGGCGGCGTGCTGACCACCTCCGGGGGGATGGCATCCGGACTCCTGGAGCCGTCCCCGCAGAGCAGCGTCTTGGGCCCCAGAGAGCACTGGACCAGCTTGTCCACTCTGGCGTTGACCTGCACGCCGCACTCCCTGGTGCTGGCCCGCTTGGGCGGGGCGGGTTGGAAGGCAGGGCTGACCTGGGACAGGATGGTTTTGCAGAGCTCCAGGTAGTTGAGGCCCTGGGGGGTCATGAAGCGGCCCTCGCGCTTCCCCCAGCCGCCGCCCGGAGCCGGGGGGGCGCACGCAGGGTTACCGTAGACGTTGTAGGGTGGGAACGTGGACAGGAACCCCTCCATCCTGGAGCCGTGAAACCAGTCGCCGTCCCTACTCTGGCGATTTATACAAACAGGCTCAGGGCGCACTGATTTGTTAATTGACAGCAGGGTGTGCAGGTTCCAATGATACAGATGATGGAAGCCTTGAAAAGGTTCTCCATTTTGACTCCAATCTGTCTTCATTCATCAACCACTGCAAATTGAAATATAACACAGCCAAGACTTTGCGTCTGTATTGTTCATCAAACAATAATTTTGCTATCCCAATTTAAAATAGCCTCCAACCGTTAACCTTCCGTTTATTTTAATCTTACTCCTTAATTTCTGAATGTGTACAATTGTTGAACTATCTCTGTTTAATTAAAATCCTAATTTAATAGTAACTTTTAAAATGTTATTGTTCAGCACAAAAAAATCACAACAAAAGCCACATGCATTTTTTTCGGTCGTCCAGAGGCCTCAATCTGGTTTCTATGGAGCAAATCACAAATATTATATCCGAGCTCCCCCTATAGCTCAGGTTGGGCACGGATCCATCCGAGACAAAGCAAACCGGAGCCGTCATGTGTCAGACACCTTCCCAGTTCTGTTCGACGCTCTGGGAACAAGCTTGGTGACAGGATTTCTAAAGAGGAGTGACGTAAATGTTGTTTTTTTCAGGCACATTCGCACAAAGAGGACGATTTGCCCTCTGCTAGGAAACGATGGCAGTGGCGTAAAAGATATCACTTAGTTGGCAGGAAAAAACGAATGAAAAAAAACGTCTCGACAGCAACCGAAAGTGCGTATAATCACCATGGAATAAATCAGATTTGATATAATACCCTTTAATAGGCAGCAAAACCCAAATAACGCGAGCCAAAAGAACCAGAATGGATCAAGACTACAGTTTTCAGAAAAAAATTACAATATTTAAACACAGCTCCACGTTCGTGCCTTTTGAGAAATCATATTACTGTTAAAAAGTGAATCATGCCTTAACGGTGCGTTCAGGTACCAACGAAATACTGATATTTCAATGTAGGGAGTTCACTTGGTAAACATGTATAAAATATATATAGATGTTTAAGAAGATATTTTGATCATAAATAAATGACTGCTCTGTTACACACAACAATGGGCAAACAAACCCCAATGTGCTTTCTATAAAACCAATTTTATGTGTGGGTAAGTACATATTACGAGTGTAGCTTAGGACAATGCATATGAAAAAATACATGTATTATATTTTATAAAGTTAAAGGATGGTAAGGGGAAAAAAGCCCAGAGGGGCTACCTGATCTCGCCCATAGGTGGCGCTGCGCACTCACCGATGGTTTGTACCCATGGGCACTGAATCTATGCATGTTGGCGCCATTTTGGAGCTAGGAGGGGGAAGAGAGCTGCAGAGGAGGACACGATATATCACAATTCACCGTAACAGGTAAGAAAATGCACTTAAAGTAAAATCTTTTTCATTGTAAGGTCACAATCTTTCTAGGCGCGAACACTAAAAACGAGGTGTGATCCAGGATGTTTCCTTGGAGTAGTCTGGTTTACAGCGCGAAAAAGGAGGAGGGCAGCCCGCCTTGCTCGCTTGTGTTCTCGGCGGTCTTGTCCGATTCGCAGCGCTGTTTGACGTGGTCCAGCGGCATAAAACGGTTAGCTGGTAAAAAAATATTAGCCCGTAGACAGGACTTGGTGTCTCAAAGGTATAGGCGAACGCTGGTTCGACTTAGTGTGTACACTTGGTCCGGGGTCTTAGTGTCCATATAACGGTTGCTCGCCAGGGTGTTTTGTTTCATACAACGTTACTCTCCGTCCGCCCTCTGTCACTGAGATTGCTGCTGCTAATGTTAGCTCCGCGCGCTAGTCAGCGCAGCCGCTAGCGTGCGAACCAGCTAGCTGTTGGCAGCTAACTGAGTTAGCCACGGTCAACATTTCACAAACCGAGCTGTCTTGCTGTACTGTTGTCCCGTTCCCTACACGATGTGGCTTCGTGACGATAGCTCCAGCACTTATGGTGTTTCTCGTCTATTCATGGTCCATCAGTTACAGAGAATAATTTAATCGCGCAAATAATTTGAACCTCATGCTGATAGTAATCGGATACATTGTTTTGGATGTGACAATCATTGAGACACTTGTGCGCGAGGTTTGTTTTTCTTCCATTTTCGTTTAACAAGCAGGGTTCATTTTTTGAAGTTTTGATGGTTTTTGAAATACTGAAAGTTGTCTTTCTTCGTGTGGCTCACACTTTGCGTTTTTTATCGGCAAGACTATTTTGTTAAACGAATTTTGTGTAACGGCTGATGAAACCTCGAAAAGAAAAGGGTCTTCAGTAAATGGAAGGTTAAAAGCAATCTGTGCAATACGTGTAGTAATATATGCTTCTTTAAATTTTATTTGCAAGTTAAATTTAAGGTAATCTCGCTAACCTGTTATCTGTCAGTTATTTAATTATAGATAAATAATTTTGTCACCGCTTCTGCAAATAATACATTTTCAGTTTAATCATGATTTACATTGGTTTGACTCAAGCTGTGGTGTTTCAGCATGACCTAGATGGAAAAATTAGTGTACTTATAGATTATTGAGTTAAAAGGCACTGTTGTTGTATTTTGGTTGTCAAAGATTATGCCTGTTTTATGACATAGATGGACAGTCATTTCTGCATTGTTGAATGCACTATGGCTTATTATTGTAACACTGTTGATCTACTTTTGCCTGCACAGCTGCCGTCTGCCTTCTGTTCACATGCACATTACCAAGAAAAGTATTTGCAAGTAGTGGAAAACCATTGTGCTGTGATTATGATTGATCCATTTTCTATGCCAAGTTTATAGGACAAATTGCATCTACTTGAACCCTTTTCTCTTTTTTTATTTCTTTCTGTGCCTTTTGTCCAAATAACTCATTTGATGGCTCCTACATGGTTTGTATAAATTGCAATTTTCAAAACGGGGACATGACAAACCTGCCACCAACCAGGGTGTTGCTATGTAGTTATGGACAGAGCCGCACATAGGAATGAACATGTAGAGTTGTACAGGTGCTAGCTGTGGATAGAATCAGTGCCAAAGCTGTGTGATATGGGAGAGTTATCTGGTTGTAGCTGATATGGCTTCTTTTCATTTGTACTTAGTTTATTCCAATGTTGTTGCATGCTCCTACGCTTTGGACTGAATTTCAGGCTTTCCTCCCTGCTTCATTATTGTTTCTTGGCAGTATTCGTTGGTTTAATTTTTTTGAAAGATTGGTCGTAAATCAGAAAATGTTTTTAATTTCTACAGTTTTTGAACAGAGGGAGAAAAAAAGCAATTTGACAACAATTGCCTGTTCAGCCATTCTTTTTATTTGACTGGGTGCTCATGTGGAGGTCATCGAGTTCACTTCTGTATCCAGCTGGTGTCCAGTTCTCACTCATTGCTGGCTTTCACCCACAGGGTTAAACCCAAAGGTTTCTCTGTCAGGGTTGAGATTGGGAGGCTAGAGCTGCTCTGCTTCTCAGACTGCTGCTGGCAGCTTTGTTTGAAGGACCAGGATGGGCAAGACAGAAGCAGTAAGAGGGAGTGGGATAACGTCAAATCCTTTGTGATTATTTTCTGTTGCTTCATGTGAAATATTCACCAGTGGATGTACCCACACAGATGCCCCAGGTAGAGAAATAATCCACTTTGACTGGCAGGTGGCTCTCTGTGTTTCCGCATGGCACACCGCTGGAGGACGGAGTGAAATTTGGCAGCAGCAGCCGTGGGGTGGAAAAAAGGTCTGAGCCAAGCAATCCGGCTGGCTGCCAGTGGCCGGTGGGTGCGCTTAGCCAATTCATGTTTGTTTGTTGAAGCTTGTGCGCAGATATAGAAAAACAGTCACTGACTATAGTGATTTATACCTTTCAGTTGCAGCCTCTAAATCCATATTTTATGTCAGATAGCAGACCTACTGACCCAGACAGCTCAAAGATCAGTTCCTCTTTAGTAATTAGAGGGACGCAGAGCGATGCTGTAACTTGATCCAGTCCTCAGTGACCAATTTCACATGTTTTGCTTAGCGTGTTAAATAGGTTAATGTGCCAGACAAAGAAAGAATGGGAGGGAGAGGGGAGGAATGGTACTGCCTGCTTTATGGAAAAATGAGACATTTATCTTTGTCAGAGCCTTGTTTTTTCATTTGTACGCGCTCTCTGTCCAGTCTGTCATTCAGGATATGTGAGACACAGCTTATGGTATCTTGTCTGTGCTTGTCAGAGCTCTGGGTCTCATAACTCTTTCTGATGGAGGCATGCACCAGTGGCCTCCTGACAGTGATGAGAGTCAAAATGTTTGTCTACATGAAGATATGTACTGCTATAAGATAAATGTCAGCTTTTTGTAAACAGTTTGATATGTGTTCACCAAGTTAACTTTTTAATAGTTGTGTAATAAAAAGCTCCATCAGCTTTTTTTCAAACACAGACCTGAATTGTAGAAAAGGAATGTGAATTCATATCCTGGAGAAAGATGGGAGCTTGGAGGTGCAAAGACATTTTTTGTCCTCCACCATGGCAGTGTCACTGTACCACATCTGTGTGTGTGTTGTCAGGACCCTCTTAAAAACAAGACCATGGTCGTAGATCAGGCATGTTGCAGCAATTATTCTAATGCGTCTTTATCTAGATTCCACAGAAAAAGCTCAGATTCTTCCTGTGGCGTGTTCCTCATGTTGGTAACGTCCTCAGGGTGACCTCGCCAGCCAGCTGTTCTGTCATCCCGGTATGTCCACGCCTCGGGATGAAATGATTTTGAAAAGCTCTTCCTTTTCAATGGATTTGCAGTCTGTGTATTTTGACCTGACCTGACTGCTGGAACACACGCTTGTTTGGTGGCTGCATAGTTTTCATTTGGAAGAAAGCAGTATGTCACCTATCGGCAGTTTGGGCTTCAAAGTCCAGGTCCTCCAGTGCAGGCCAGAGTTTTGGTTTTTTTTCCAGAGCCTCTGGACAGAGCTGTCTGATGCTGCCTCAGGATCTGGCTATTTAAGCCACAACTGAGGTTAGTGGGTCAAGGCCCTGACTACTGCGATTGTAACTAAGAAAAAATCTTTTCGTCTTCTTGTTGAGTTTTTCTGTATTTTTTTGTGATGCACTCACTTGGAGTTTCAGCTTCACACTTTGTCAGCTGGGCGGGTCATGGTTAGCTGGTTAGACTAGGCCAGCCGACATCTGAAAGCCCCACAGGACCATAGCTCTGTCGGTGTTTGTTTCTTCAAACTCATTCTTCACCCAAACGTTGAGTGCCTATTCTCTTGTTACCGTGAATTAGCGTTTCCGTGCTGTCTTTCAGACCAGTCTTTTCTAGCCACTGACAGGACATCTCTGGATCAGCCCCATCTTCGATGTTTCAGTAGTACAGGCTAGGGATGTCCTGATCCAGCTTTTTTCACTTCCGATCCCGATACCGGCCTATCGGAGCACGTATTAAAGTTTAAAGTTAGTTAGCCTACTGACTTAGTTGTCAGACTCATGTTGAAAAGGGATTTACTCTTCTAACAACTAGCCAGCTGAATTAGGGGAGTTTGAATAATACACAATGGATCTGACTTAAAAAAAAAAAACAGGATTGTCTGCAGTCTGGATCGGCTGATACGCATTTTTTTGCAAATATCGGCATCCGATCCAAATATCGGATTGGGACAAACCTAGTACAGGCTGTGCAGAGGCTTCCACGATGGTTCCTTGTCTTGGTTTGTTCCCTCAAGTTGCCTTTGGCATTCACTCAGCTGTTCATCTCTGGGGACCATCTGTTTGTATTCCTAGATATTATTTCAGTGGCTCAGATGCTTATTATTCCCCTGGCCTACTCCCTCTTTTGAACAAAGAGGAGTGCAGGGAAGCCTTTGACTTGTGCTGAGCCTTGTCCACTTGTGCTTGTGTTTCAGTTAACTCGACCACTAGAAAATGATTGAATAAAATCCAGTGTTTGTAAAATCTGTTATTTTTTTTAAGGCATATGTACTGTAATTACGACAGATGACTAGGAGGAAATATTCTGTTCTGAACATCGATTACAACATGGAGGGGTTTGATAGGAAGGTAACTGGATTTGCTTATGAAGAATCCTTCTCATTTTTGGAATTTTTTTTCAATACTGGACAGCAGTGTTTAGCAGTGCAGATGAGCAAGTTCAAGCAAAAATGTCCCGAGGGTTGTTTGTTCTTACTATCAAATGACATCAGGATGCATCTATTGGTGTGTGTGCGTGTGTGTGTGTGTGTGGGTGGGTGGGTGCCAGCTCTTGAGTGACCCAGTCAGGGCAAAGCTGGTGGGAACAATTAAAACGGCAGATCTCCTCATCAACCTGAGCCTGCCTGGTAAGCAGCTTCTCACTCACATTTTGAGCCTTTTTGTTCAAAGAAGTGAACATTGAGAGGAGCCTGTGTGAGTAAATGATGGCGATAGGTTGGCAAAACAGCAGGGAGAGATAATTCTTTCTTGATTCAACGGCAAACTTTAAACATGAGGTACAGTAGAAGACTCTGTAGAGTGGCTTGTAGAATACTTTCCTTGTGTTTATATTCTTTTAAACCTTACCAGCACATTCCCAAACCACAATGTGAAATAGAGAAAAAGATGGTATAGTGCTTCTCTTTTTTCAGTCTAACTAGTTCCTCTCATCAGTTTTCTTGGTGATGGCTTGAATAATTTAGAATTAAAGTTGGCAGACATTTCTCTAGATTTGCCCAGAGCAGCCTGGAAGTGATGCGAGTCATGTTGTGATGAGCAGGACACAAAACTGAACGTGGAAAAGCTCTGGGTGGATATTCTAAATAAGAGATGTGTGTTATCTTATCTCTAACGCTTTTCTAAAAGTCAGTTGGGCTCTCTGAATGGAGGGATTTCATCATCAAATTACACCATAGAAAGCTATTTATTTGACAAACTAAAAAAAAAATTCTATTCAGAATTAGACGATTAGACATTTAAAAAGAAATATTTTCTTATTGTTAGTGGGCTTGTCGTCTCTCTTTTGGTTACTCTGTCTTTACAATTAAGCAGTTTTTGTGATTTAACCCGGGCTTTGTTCTCTGTCTCTGCAGGCAGTGAAGAGCTAAAGAGGATGGCTCACTCTAAAGCTCGAGCCGCAGACGGGAAGGTGACTTACCCCCCGGGGGTCAAGGAGATCTCTGACAAAATCTCCAAAGAGGAAATGGTCCGCAGGCTCAAGGTTGGTGTGTTACTCCTGCCACGCTGCAGATTGTGTCTGCTGTTTGCTCAGGGTGCACACATCATGCGTGCGCCACATGAGCGGACGTGCTGTTTCCCACTCGGCCCTAACGTACCCCTCCTGGTTTTCAGATGGTTGTGAAGACCTTCATGGACATGGACCAGGACTCTGAAGAGGAGAAGGAGCTCTATCTGAATCTGGCCCTTCACCTGGCCTCGGACTTCTTCCTCAAACACCCAGACAAAGATGTGCGGCTGCTGGTGGCCTGCTGTCTGGCTGATATATTCCGGATTTACGCACCAGAGGCGCCCTACACTTCCCCAGATAAGCTCAAGGTGCGCAACGACTGTTCTGATTAGGTTTCACAAGGAAGGTATCATCCCAGAAACAAATGCTACAAAACGATGGCATTTTGCCTACAGTTTGGCCAGACGCACACATGTAGATGTGTCATCACAAACAGGTTTATCAGAGTTTAGTCAGGATGTTTTTTAAAACCAATGAAGTTTTTTAAAGGGCAGCAAAGAGCATAGCGTGAAACCGTCCATCTCTCTTCAGGCAGTTCTGTGGAAGAAAACCAAAGTTATGACACTGTTATTATTTTCTTTCTGCCTTCACCAATCCAAATTATTACCCATCATTCTAACTGCGTGCATGTTGTGCTTGTGTTTCTTGGTTTTAGGACATTTTCATGTTCATAACAAGACAGCTGAAAGGACTGGAGGACACCAAAAGTGCACAGTTCAACAGATACTTCTACCTGCTGGAGGTATGGAGCTGTACCCAGACTGCACACCAAGTGGGCTGCCTAAGTGGAAGGTTTTGTTTTTATAGAAGGGCAAAATAAAGAATGACGGAGGCATGAAGTAGAAAACTCATTCTAAGTAGAATTATATAGAGTTGAAGAATGTCTTGTCAGATTGTGTTTGTTTGGGCTCTTTAAACACTTGGTGGGGTTAAGCCTCAAATGTTTTGGATGAGTGTTTTGATGAGTAATTGGGAATCCAGATCTGCTCTAACCGCTCTGATGAAACACTTTTCAAAAATGAAGAGAGAGAGAAAGATGTTAAGTAAGTGGTGAATAACTATAGAGGGCTTTTTCTGACTTTGTTCTGTTGTCGTATGTGTTTGTGCATCCTGGCTCTTACCTATCTTAATTTCCCATTTTCATCATACTTAACCTCTGATTTCTGAACCCATTTACTCATGTGGGGCTGCGCTGTAGATCTTGAGTAATTGTGTAGTTTAAAACTAAGTGCAAATGCAAGTATAGAAAGCAAAACAAACACTGTAGCTGTGGGGTCAGACTGATGTGCACTGGTTTCTGTGCAGCTTCACACATGTGAAAAACATGTTTATCTGATGTTGTAGTTTTATATTTTATCTGCAGGCTGCAGCAGACAGAACTCTTGTACATGGGTGATAACGCTGATCGCTGCTGAAAAAGTCTCTCTTTGTATTTAAATCAGGCTTTGTTTAAAAAAATAATAATGTTAGTCTGGCATCCATTATCAGATTCAGTTTGCTTTTCAGTCCTCCTGCTTAAATGTTTCAGTTTCCTTTCAAAGAGGGTTTGATCTGTTTGACTCTGCGCCGAGAAGCTTTTTCCTGATTAAATCAGAGTGACTCAGATGAAGCACCATTGTCTTAAGAATGTGAATAAAAGCTTGTGTTCTAAATTGGTTTTAAATTAACCGTTTAAGGCAACTCAGAGGGAGCAGATTGAGCTGGTAGAAAGCTTACCCTGAAATGTCCCACTTCAACATTTAGAAGAGGACATTTGTCAATGTTTCCACTTTGTTTTGTTCTAAATTTGTCAACACAAACCTGCGTGATCCATCTCTTCCACTTCGAAGCTCAATAGAGAATTTTGGACAACTCAGCTTTGGTGCTTTCTGTCAGCAGTGAATAAGCTCTAAAAGCCCCACAGGTTCCTTCTGCTCAATATTGAATGCCTCTAACTGGTGGACGTATCTGATTGTTTTGCTGCTAAATAGACAGATTGATTAGTACCCAAAGTCAGAGCTAAAAGGAGAGTGAAGAGTGAAACGTGCTCACAGGAGCAGCAGCAAAGAGAAGGGACCCCGCTGTGTGCCGGCTGGATGTGTGGCAGAGCAGCAACTCATTCATTCTGAGTGCCCTAAAGGAGAATTTAATTACAATCTCACTAAAAGTCAGCCAAAAAGCAAATACTGATATACGTCTTTACTTCTCAGCATATTTGCCCTCCCCAATCATTATTGCATTATGACTCAGAATTGCCTCCTCTCTCTGTCCAGAACATAGCTTGGGTGAAGTCTTACAACATTTGCTTTGAGCTTGAAGACAGCAATGAGATCTTCACCCAGCTTTACAGAACACTCTTCCAGGTCATCAAGTAAGTCTTTTCATCATTCTTTGTTTTTTTGTGCCAGTGCCCTTCCTTCTGTTGAGTTTTTCATCCAAATCCCTGTTTCCTTATTGACTCTGGTGTGGGATGGTGTGCTGAAGTGGAGCGTGCTGCTATGTGTCTAAGCACCCCCCATCTGTCTCAGCCACATTGTAAAACAGCATAGTAACCGTCTGGCCGTTTTCTCTGTGATCCCAAAGCCCCCCCATCCCCCACCCCACTCTGCTGAGCACAACCTTGAGGGTGGAATTCTGCGGCACAGAATTTGGCTCTATGCCATTGGAGGAAAATTGTGGTTGTGTGTGAATGCTGCCAATACTTCTCTATTGCACAGAGAAAAGATCTTTTTGAAATATAATCAGTGAGTGAACCTCAATGCAAGCTTCGCGTTTGACTAAAAGTTCAACTTGGAGGCACTAAAGCTACTCGCTGACATACAGTTTAAGATTACGAGCTCTACCTCCTGGTGAAATTTGGCTCACCCCTCTGTGGGATCAGGGCATCTTTAATGACATGGTCTGTTAGACTAACAAGTGTTTCACATGTGCCACTTGAATCAGTGAATGAAGCTCATTTTATTAAGTACTAGCAGTGGTCAACAAGACCATAAAAGTAATTTTGCTCACAGACCCCAGAGGAGATGTAGATGTGCTCTTTATACTAGCCCGAAAACCAGGTCTTAATATTATGTTATAATCCTATATTATGTTAAAAATCATCAACCTATGACCTTTTCTGCCTGGTTTCCAGCAATGGTCACAACCAGAAGGTCCACATGCATATGGTGGACCTGATGAGCTCCATCATCTGCGAGGGAGACACCGTATCCCAGGAGCTGTTGGACACTGTCTTGGTCAACCTCGTGCCAGCGCACAAGGTATCTGTTCACAGTCCACATGGATGTGCTCACAAAATGTGTAGCCACACAAACGGCACTACTCACTGTGAATAAGGATTATGAGGGACCTAGAGGTTACATACATTTTTTAATAGATGGATCCTTTTACTGTGACATTTATATGTACACAAATGGTACCACCACCAAAGACTATGCAACTAGTAAATGCTCTGTTAGGGACAACCTGAAGTCATTAGCTGTGCCATGGTCAATTTTCCATACTCTGTAATTCATTGAGACCCCTGCTGGTAAGAAAATGTAACGCATCTTAAGTTTTGGCACACAAAGAAGGGCGGACAGTGTGTGTGCTGGGAGTATGCTGAAGGTTTTAAAGAGATTTCCAGACTTCATTTGTAAAATCCTTTTCAGATATGTGTATGTTTTTATTGATTTTATCTGTATTTATTTGATTGTTCTTTGTGTTCAGAATCTGAATAAGCAAGCATATGACCTGGCCAAAGCCCTGCTGAAGAGGACGGCCCAAGCTATTGAACCATACATCACTAATGTAAGTTGTGCTGATTCTTACTCTTACTGTGTGCCTTCACATTTATCATTCTAAGTTTTTCAATAAGTTTCTGGTGCATTATGTCACATAGTTAAATTTTTTTAGAGTTTAGAGGCCCATATTTGAGAGTGATAGTGCTCAGAGAGATAAACTGAACATCTTCTGAATGTTGAAGAGTTCACACTTCTCAGTTTATTTGTAATTGTAGTCATGCATGCCAAAGCTTTGTCATTCAGCCTTTATTGAAGGTTAAGAGTAGTGAAGTTGGAGTTGTAACTTTTTCTTCTCTTCTTCTTTGACAGTTCTTTAACCAGGTGCTGATGCTGGGAAAGACCTCAGTCAGTGATCTGTCTGAGCACGTTTTTGACCTCATTTTGGAGCTGTACAACATAGACAGCCATCTGCTTCTCTCAGTCTTGCCACAGTTGGAGTTTAAACTCAAGGTACAGAAATATGTTTAATTAAACATATTAAAAGAAGAGTTTATTTTTTGGTCACTTAAAATACAGAGTTGAATAATCTGCTACTCGAAGCGTCCTTTTAGACTGTTCTTCATCCTTCCACTTTAAAAAAAAAAAGGGGGGGGTTTAAATATTTATTCACACTGGACCAAAAACCACTTTTTCTCTGACCCATATTTCCACAGAGCTGCATGTTTTCACCTTCTCTGCTGGTCTGTAGATTCACATTAGAAAGATAAAGTAGTGAGCCAGTCAGCATAATGTTGCCTCTGCAGTGTCTCATAAAGGCGTCCTGCTGATGGATAACCCTCATTAACCGTTCAGAGGCAGCGTAGATCACTGCTGTCTCCTCAAAATAATAGATGTGATAAAAATCTTCCTACGACTCACTCAACCCCCACCTCCCTCTCATGCTCTCTCATTTCATCATTTTCTTTGTTTTTTCCTGCCCTCGGCCACTTTTCCTTTTCCATCCTCACCCCTTCCTTCCCTTCATCCCATACTCCTTTGTTAGTGCTGATCGTCATTCTGGCTCTGGCTCAGTCCGTCTGCAGCAACCTGCAGCCCCTGTGTGCTCTGAAAATGATAATGTGTGTATTATAGTTGGTGTTAATGACTTGGCACCTTTGTCTCCTCAACACGTTCAGTTCATCATTTTTCTCTGTGTGTTTCTCTTTCTCTGCAGAGTAATGATAATGATGAGAGACTACAGGTGGTAAAGCTGCTAGCTAAGATGTTCGGAGCCAAGGACTCAGAGTTGGCTGCGCAGAACAAACCCCTCTGGCAGTGTTACCTGGGCAGGTGGGTGTCAGTGTCCTGGCTTTGGCATCCCCAGATCTTCAAAGTCTGTGAAAAGGTTAAAAATAGCCCTGCTGTTGTTTTTGTATTTAATCAACCTTTTTGTTGATTTGCCTGTGGATTAAAGTAAAGAGGATTGGCATTTCTGCCAATTTGGGATTAGAAATGCTGCGTACTGCAGGTCTCCCATCTTTTTCTTCATGACGGTTGTCTCATGCGTTGCCACTTTTAGGCCAGCTGGACAGAACTAACACACACGAGAAAGCTCGACTTGTTGGTTTTTGTTTGTATAGCCTTCATCTTTTTAGAACTAATACTTGTGCATTTTATCCCAAAGGTTTAATGACATCCATGTGCCAATCAGACTGGAGTGTGTGAAGTTTGCCAGCCATTGTCTCATGAACCACCCAGACCTGGCCAAGGACCTCACAGGTATGTCATTTGTTTAGGGATATGTGCTGTTTTTGGTTGAGGAACATTTTAAAGAAATGATAACTTATTTTGATTCTCCACTGGGGTTTATAAACCACACTTTGTCAGATTTTGTCCATTGAAAGGCTTTAGGTCAAATCAAAATATTTTCCTGGTGTTTTTACGATGTTAGAGTTGACAAATCCTCTTCAATGTGATTGTATTTTTTCTTTCTTTGCTAGAATTCCTGAGAGTCAGATCACATGATCCAGAGGAGGCCATCCGCCATGATGTCATTGTTTCTATAGTAACTGCTGCTAAGAAAGACCTGTCCCTCGTCAATGATGCGTTGCTCAATTTTGTAAAGGAGAGGACCTTGGACAAGAGAGTAAATACAAAATTTGATTCCATGTGTTTTGTTTTGTGTTTAACCAGTTCAGGGTTTTGTGCATTAAAGAAAAAAACAAACAAAACCAGCATATTGAGGGGGTTATTTGCAAAGTTTTCTGGGGGGGAGGGGGGTAAGCTGCAGTTTCAAAGGTAAATTCAAAGGTAACTTTCTGCTAGTGGTATAAATGACTCCCTTGTTTTTTTTCCTGTCTTCCATCAGTGGCGTGTACGCAGGGAGGCCATGATGGGCCTGGCATCGATCTACAGGAAGTACGCACTGCAAGGAGAGGGTGGCAGGGAGGCCTCCAAACAGATTTCCTGGATTAAAGACAAACTTCTTCATATCTACTATCAGAACAGCATTGATGACAGGTTTGTGAACATTGCTTCCATCATGGATTTCAGGGATGGATTCAGTGCCTGTTGGCACTGTTTAAAGGTTAGAAGAGTTGAACCCATTTCCTGGCTCTTTCACCTTGGGCTTGAATCTGTCCTAAATACCATCAGGTCATTGTGGGTTTTTGACTCAATCTTCAGAATCCAGTGAGAAAGTGTTTGTTTGAGCTCCCATTACATTGATTATCCCAGTAATTTGACAGGCCCCACAGAGGTCCGATGACGTCCCAAAGCGTAGCAGTGAGGAATGTTTTCTCAGTGGATTCCTCTTTGAGTCGGCAGATTGTGCTCTGCAGCGTCACTTGACTCACTCCAGCTACAAACATGTTTGTTTGCCCCTCTGTGTATTATTAAGAGCCATTGCTCAAAATGTAACAACCTCAAGTTGAAGCAGATTTATCGTTATTCAAAAAGACGAGGAAAGACAAAAACGCCCCAATGAAAAGTTGCAGCTTGGTCAAACCACAGAGGAATGTCCGAGTGTAGCTTTGTTTTCAATCACTGTGCTGCATTGGAGCAGCAGGAAGTCTGCACCAAAGAGGGCACTTCCTTTTTGCAAATGTGTGTTATGTTAAACCAGTTGAGCTCTGAGGGTATTTTTTGTAGCTGTTCTAAGCTTCTTTAATTGTCCGAGTTCATCTGGAATTTACAAGTTTAATTGTCGGTTACACATTAAAATCATAATGTGGTTATGAACTATCCCCCCTCTGTGTGCAGGTTGCTGGTGGAGAGAGTCTTTGCCCAGTATATGGTTCCTCACAATCTGGAAACCGCTGAAAGAATGAAGTGTCTTTACTACTTGTACGCCACACTGGACACAAATGCTGTCAAGTAAGTTGTTCAAGTTTTTTTTTTTTCCACTACTTTTTCTTTATAATCTAAAGAAATAATGAAATATGGAATCTATCGATGGATTGTTTTTGTCTTAAAAGCTGTCATAATATATCCCATTATTTGGGTCTCTCTCAGAGCTTTGAATGAGATGTGGAAGTGCCAGAACCTGCTAAGACACCATGTCAAAGACCTGCTGGACCTGATCAAAAAACCCAAGGTACCTCTGAGTAATGGATAATAACACATAACCTACAGGTCAACACCTCTAGCTCCATTTGTTCTACTTTTCTGAGCTTTTTGATGTGCTCTTACCTTTCTATTTACCACAGTCTGAAGCTTCCAGCAAGGCTGTTTACGCCAAAATCATGGTGATCACAAGTAAGAGCTCTCTCTTGAGTCTCTAACAGATTTGTCTTCTTCGAATAATTAATTAGGGAAATGGCATTTTCATTGCCACCCTTTCTTTCGAAATATATTGAAGCTTTCTTTGTGCTTTTAGGGAACCTTCCTGACCCGGGCAAAGCTCAGGACTTTGTCAAGAAGCTAGCTCAGGTGCTGGATGATGATGAGCGGATCAGAGATCAGTTGGAAACCTTGGTCAGCCCTTCCTGCTCATGCAAGCAAGCTGAAGTCTGTGTGGTGAGTTTTGGCAGTTTTTCATATTAAAAAAGTGTATCTTGTTTGATAAATTATCTTATCATTACTTTTCGTCTATTGAAGAGTAATGAAAGTCCTCTGCTCGACCATTACCTATAATTTATTATCTTAGAGGGACATCACTAAGAAGCTCGGCAGCCCTAAACAGCCCAGCAATCCTTTCCTAGAAATGGTAAAGTTCCTGTTGGAGAGGATCGCTCCTGTACACATTGACACAGAATCCATCAGGTACCAAATTGTTGTGCAAAGACGAAACCACTTTGTTAAAGAAAAAACAACGTAATTTTATCCCAGTGTAATCTCCTCATCTCTACCATCTTTGTCTGTTAGTGCTTTGATAAAACAGGTGAACAAATCTATAGATGGAACAGCTGATGATGAAGAGGAGGGTGTCCCCACTGAAGAGGCCATCAGAGCAGGACTGGAACTCCTTAAGGTAAAAACTTGTAACGATCTGCATACCTCTGCGTTCTTTGATGAATGTTGTTACTAATCTCATTTTATTTTGTGCAGACACCGTTAACAAACACTGTTCTACAAAAAATTATGTATAATGAAATGAAAGTCTTTGTACTTAAAAGATCGTTCTTTGCTGCCTGCAGCTCTACTAATCAGCAAGTTAAATGGGCTGTTTTTCTCTGTGGAATCTGTAGCAACATGCAGGGAAAAGAAGAAATCAAGCATCTATTGTGTCCCTCCCACAGCTTTGCTCTGGATGTGGAGCTGCTGGCAGCAGCTGCTTACGGACTAAAAGGCTTTTAGTGTTTCCCCGTCGTAGAGTCTCTTTAAAATATGCCTAATCCCACACAGGTGCTCTCCTTCACACACCCAGTGTCGTTCCACTCCGCAGAGACGTTTGAGTCTTTGCTGGGCTGTCTGAAAATGGATGATGAGAAAGTAGCCGAAGCCGCGCTGCAGATCTTCAAGAATACAGGCAGCAAGATGGAGGAGAGCTTTCCCCACATCAAATCGTATGTTTCTATCTTTTTTTCTTTTTTTTAGCCTAAATCCCAGTAGAAGCAGTGCTTCCCCGGTATGCAGCCATGCACTGAAACTCTGTGACATAAGACAAAAGCTCCTTTTGTTAGTTTTAATGGTGTTGTCCTCCCTGCTCCCCCAAGCGTTTTACTGCCAGTACTGCAAGCCAAAGCCAAGAGAGGCCCCCCTCGCCAGGCCAAGTATGCCATCCACTGCATCAACGCCATGTTCACCAACAGAGACACACACTTTGCCCAAATATTTGAGGTCAGTCAAGTTGTTGGTTATTTTGTTATTGTTGCACAAGATGATATTCAGCTTTCAACTTATTCCCTTGCTTGCATTAAAAAAATATATATTTATCAACGGAAATATGTGTCTTCAGCCCCTCCACAAAGGCCTTGACCCTGCTAACCTGGAGCAGCTCATCACTCCTCTGACCACTCTGGGTCACCTGGCCCAACTGGCCCCAGAACAGTTTGCTGCACCTCTGAAGTCTCTTGTTGCCAACTTCATCGTGAAGGACCTGCTAATGAATGATAGGGTACTAATGCAAACATCCTTTATTCAGCCATTCTTATGGAGAACCAGCCATTCTCTTTGTTGTCTAGTTTGTGTGTTAGTATTGGTGAATTTCCTAAAGTAGAGAGAAAATAAGCAGCTGGAAGCTCTAAACCAACACTAGCCAAAGTTCACAGAAGCTGCTCACCACTGTTGATGTGAAATAAGCTAACTAAATCATCATATCCTGTCTGTAGATCCCAGGCAAGAAGACGACCAAACTCTGGGTTCCTGATGATGAAGTGTCTCCAGAGACTCTGGCAAAGGTCAGCGCTGAACCTTACATGTCACAATAAAAACATCCCAATTCAGCCAGGACTTTCATTTCACAGCAGCGAGAAAGGCTTCATCTTGAACGTCTTTAGACTGTTTTCAGAAAATACATCTTTCCATCCCTCTCCACACAGATTCAGGGCATAAAGCTGATGGTGAGGTGGTTGCTTGGAGTGAAGAACAACCAGAGCAAATCTGGCAACTCCACCCTGAGAATGCTGACTGCCATTCTGCACAGCGACGGGGACCTAACTGAGCAGGGCAGAATGGGGTAAATCCTAAAAAACTCCTCTTTTTATTAGGCTAAGCTGTCAGCTGTAAGATCCTCGTCATGTTTCACTGCACAATGTTAGGGGACGTGCAGGCTTCAGCTCTAAACGCCAGTGGAGGATAAAAAAAGAAGTCTTCTCTCACACTCATCTGCTCTCCTTCCCTGTCATTTTGTAGCAAACCAGATATGTCGAGGCTCCGGCTGGCGGCGGCGTGCGCTCTGCTGAAGCTGGCGCAGGAGCCCTGCTATCATGAAATCATCACACTGGAGCAGTATCAGCTCTGTTCTCTCGTCATCAATGTAAGACCTTCCACAGGTCTCTCTGCTACACAGCTCAACTTAACTTTGGGCTCTGGATTTTATCGCCTAGTTCACTCCGTAGCTCTGAGACTCTTTAGAAATTCCTTTTCTCCCCCTGCCTTTCTCCCTCTGCAGGACGAGTGCTACCAGGTGCGCCAGTGTTTTGCCCAGAAGCTCCACAGAGGCTTGTGCCGCCTCCGTCTGCCGCTGGAATACATGGCAGTGTTTGCTTTGTGTGCCAAGGACCCTGTGAAGGAGAGACGGGCTCATGCTCGCCAATGCCTGGTGAAAAACGTCAACATACGCAGGGAGTACCTCAAGCAGCATGCAGCCATCAGCGGTAATCAGCCTTCACCTGTTCTTTTAAAGCAAGTCTCACACGTCCAGTCTTTTTGTAAAACTATGAGCAACACATGATTTCTACCAACAGACAAGTTGTTCTCTCTGCTCCCGGAGTACGTGGTGCCCTACACCATCCACCTTCTGGCACATGACCCAGACTATGTGAAGGTGCAGGATATCGAGCAGCTGAAAGAAATCAAAGAGTGAGTCGTATCCTGGAAAGCCGCCATGCTCGTGTAGATGATAGGGATGCGGAGTCTTGTTGATCAGATCTTATTGATTCAACCTTTTTTCTTTATTAGTCTCCAGAGGACAAAGACTGCACAGACTATTGTTTCAGATGAAAAGACGTTGTTTATCCTGAAGTGAAACAACCATCTCACTTTTGATAGAAAAGAGAAATGTATAGTCTATATCAAGCAAACAAATAACTCAGAAGATTTAGTGCAGTTTAACTCTGACGATCAATACAAGAATTTGATGAATGGAATCATCTTTGGATGGAAAAAAATGTGACTTTGCAGCATGCGCCCTAATCAAAGCTAAAAGGCATATCGGTGTTTTTGGCCTGTATTTCTAATATTAGACTTTCCTTCCTTTTTAGGGCTCTGTGGTTTGTCCTTGAAATTATCATGGCCAAGAATGAGAACAACAGTCACGCTTTCATTAGAAAAATGGTGGAAAATATGAAACAAACAAAAGACGCACAGTCCCCCACCGATGGCAAAACAAACGAGGTACAAACCTAATGTGCCAATCAAATGTTCTCAGAATGGGTCACTAGTATGCTAATAGGGACCTATTTACTGATTTAAAAAAAAAATTTTTTTAATGTATTAATTTTCTCTTTACGGTACAGAAACTTTACACGGTGTGCGATGTAGCCATGAACATCATCATGTCAAAGAGCACCACTTACAGCCTGGAGTCCCCGAAAGACCCCGTGCTGCCCTCACGCTTCTTCACCAAACCAGACAAGGTCCGTGTTTCCAGCCAGTGGTTATCCAGAGAGTTTTGGGGGAGTTTTTTAGACAGAACTCTGCATTCATCCTCTGTTGCTCTTGCTTCACAAACAAGCCGCCTGACAGATTTGTATTTTGTTCTAGAACTTCAGCAACACTAAAAATTACCTCCCGCCAGAGATGAAGGCGTTCTTCACTCCAGGAAAGGTAAGATCTAAAGAAAAAAAAAACCTTCTTACCCTTACATTGTCTCATGTCCTGGCCAACATTTTATTCTTCTCCTCTTCTCTTAAGCCCAAGTCAGCTAACGTTTTGGGGGCAGTCAACAAGCCCCTGTCGTCGGCCGGCAAACAGCTCCAGAGTAAAGCCTCTCGCATGGAGACCACCAGTAACAACGACTCCTCGTCCAACCCGGGTTCTCCACAGCGCACCAAGACCAGGTACACACCAGACAAACGCTGGATTCCTGCAGCTCCAGACCTTCAGCTGATCCAGTCGGAGCACTGCAGCACTTAATTACTCACAAACAGGACGATGATGAGAGTAACCGTAGATGTGGACCCTTTCGAAACTGCAGCTACTGCAGAACAAAGGCTCTGACTAAGCCTCTGGTTGTGTGGCACGCTGACTGACCATGGCTGTTTTTCAGGCACGACAGCACAGAAATGGATCACAGTGAAAACGAGGACTTCAGCCTAAAGCGAGCAGACAGTGTTGACAAGGTACTTGCTCCTATCCGAGTGTGCACGCACCACAGTCTGATGACTGGGATGCAGTGACGGTGCTCTGGCATTTTGTTTGTGCGCAAAATGATTGTTCTGCCTCTGTTCAGAGGAAGGGCTGCTCAAATAAACAAAAGTTTGATCTGAAATTACACAGTACCTGATGGGTCGAGAGGGGCCGTGTTGCTGGGCTCTGGCTGAGTGCTGCCCGTCATAAATCCTTGTCCCGCTGTTTGAATCTGCTGTTCAAACACCAGCTGCTGTTGGATCAGGATTAGCACATCCAAGATGTGTAAACTGTCGCCCACACGGCGAGCACCTGGTGTTCACGATTGTCCTTCTACACCGTGTGGAGAAAAAAAAAAATCAATAGTTGATGTTCGTCCTACCAAATAAAGAAAAACCATCCTGTGCACAAATTTTCCATCAAGAATTTTATAATCTGCTTGATTTGTCGAAGTTGTGGAAGAAACTGCGGCGTTCCTAAGTAATTCATGTTGTTTTTGTCCGTTTGCTTGTTTGTTTCAGGACATTGACAAACCCCGTGGTCGCAAGAGGGGCGTGGCCTCCAGCGACGACCAGGAGAGCAAGCCGAAGCGTGGCCGCAAGAAGGCGGTTGCCAACACGACGGCAGCGGCCGAGTCCGAGGACCAGTGGGACGAGGACACCCGGCCGGAGGACGAGCAGAACAGCCCGCCCAAAAAAGGACGACGGGGCCGGCCTCCGAAGTCGGCCTCGTCCGGCCAGGAGACGCCCGCCAAGGGCCGGAGGGGGCGGAAGAAAGCCACGCCCCCACCAGAGGAAGACGAGGAGGATGAGGAGGAGGAGGAGAGGGGGGATGAGGATGCAGAAGAGGAAGATGAAGAGGATGACAGGAGCAGCGAAAACATGGAGGTGAAGACGAAGGGGGGACGGCAAACCAGAACGCCACGCCGATCTCAGGGGTGAGTCGGACCTCCTTCACTATTTGAGTTTAGTCAGTCTGCTCCGTTTGAGACCCAGACACTGAAGCCAGAGGCGTTCTGTGTTTGTCCGGCAGCTCGGAGTCAGCAGAGTCCACGCCGCAGAAACGGAGAGGACGTCCACCCAAATCTGCCCAGCCAGCCGCCAAGAAACCAGCGTAAGACCACCAGCAGCGGCCTGCCAGGCCTTCCCTCCTCAGCTCAGCTCTTGAGCTTTGTTTCTGTGAAAGCTCAAGCATGCAAAGCATGGCAGGGCTCCCTCCACACGCCACTCCGTTCATCACTGTACCCACATGTTATCAGACTTTAGACTTTTGTGAGGAGACCCTGCCCGGTCACTAGTTATTAACCATTTGGCTCCTTTTAATTCTCGCTCCAGTTTTATTTTGAGAACAATTTAGCTTTCCATCTCCAGATAGCGCTGCTCTGAAACACTTTTCTTCTCGTCGAGACTCTCTAATTCAGTGTTTGTGTGGATTCCAGACGCGGCGGGCGAGCGAAGGCCGCTGCTGCTAAAGACGAGTCTGAGGAAGACGATGAAGAAGAGGAGGAGGAGCAGGAAGATGAGCCAACACCAAAGGTACTGATTCAACAGCAGCCATGCCCAGATGAAACCAGAGCAGTGCGAGGGGAATCCAACGCTCTGCTTTCCTCTGGTCTTCCTTACAGGGTCGCAAGAAGGCCGTCGGGCGAAGAAGATGAGCTCCAAACCACGGAGCGCCATGGAAGACGGCACATGTCCTCGAGTCCAGGAGGAATGACGCAGGAAAGAAAACACGGACTTTGAACTTTTTAAACTTTTCATATGCCGACGCTCCTACTGTTACACCAGTTTCCACACATGTATACAGCACATGCACACCACACCCGGACATCCGCACCATCAGCTGTGGGTCGTTGCTTCGTGTCGCATTGTGATGACGTTCGCCACATTGAGTAGAAATCGATTCAACAGAAAAACACACACACAGAAAAAAAAAAAAAGTTGACTCTTGTAAATACTCTTCTGTCTGTTTCATGTTCAGTTGTTGTGTTTTATGCTGACTGGGGGCGATGCTGCAAAGCCTTTTCCCTCTGATATTATTAAAGTGTTCCCATAAAGCAATACTGCTTATCAAACCTTCCCTCTGAGTCCTACTTTTAAAAATGAAAAGAGATGAACCATCAACCTTTTTTTTTTTTGGCATTCATTGTGTCGTTTCACTTTATAGAAATCCTGTTTTTGTTTACGGTTCTGTATAATATTACCTGTTTTTTTTGTTTTGTTTTTTACCACCGATTGAGTATTTTAAACAAATGTCAGGAAACTGTCCAAATGTTGAGTTGCTTCTGGATAGAACTGTAGCGTGCGTCTCATTTTTAGGTTTGTACTCGCTGGTTAGAAGGAAGCCGTGAGCGGCTGTGGTTGTCGTTTTCATCACTGCTGGTAAAGTTGGCTTCACATCCACCCAGTCAGACCCTACGTTGTATCAATATAATTCTCTATAAAACCAGACCCCCTCTATCTCTCTTTATTTCACGTTGAAGTCCTGCATGTTGTCTGTGTGACCCGGTTCCTGGGGGTTTCACCTGGGCAGACGGGGTGGAAGAGCTGTTACTGTTGGCTGCAGCTTAACAGTTGATGCATATTTTAGTTGTCAGGTTAAGAAAAAAAAGAAGACAAAGATGAGCACTTCAGAGTTATGGACCCAAAGAAATTAGATTCTGCACACACTTCAACAAGCTGGATGGGTGAGTTTGAGGAGGTTTCTAACTAAAACATCGGCATCTTGCACTATTCTAAGCCTTATGTCAGGGTAAGCACTGGTTATATTGTTTTTCTGTGTATACACGCAGTCTGAGGACAAACTTCCTCTGCCTGTCTTGTAAATGTGCTTCATACTGCTAATGCATGCACCTCCTTAAGAAGCTCTTCTCCACCCTCTGCCCCCCGGCTGTGATCCATGACGGCGCCTGTCATCTGCTCCCAGCTGAAACTGCCCTTCAAAGCAAATTCGGTGAGTGATAGCTGCCCCAGCTGGAAAATACCCAGAAAAGGCATCCATGTGCTTTTCAGATAAACCACACTGGAACCACTGAAATGTAATCACACATGAGGATTTGGTGAATTGTTTTGATAACCTGTCACCTGGTGAAAAGGTAAAAACTGGATCTATCCAATATTGTTTGACGTGAATGGAGGAAAGTGTGTTTAGTTTGTGTGTGTCTGTCTGTCCATGTCGCTTTTGGCCATATTATTTCCTTCTGGAGGCCTCTTCTCCAAAAGAGTGGAAGTCTGTCACCTATGAAAGTTTCATGAGAATACAGAAGTCCCACTGGATTCAAAATGAATGAGTGCCTGTGATTTTGCTAGAAAAAAGCTAAATGCACCTCTGAGTAAAGTTGTATAATTTTTTTTTAAGTTTATTAAATGGTTAATCTTTCAGTCTTGGAATGCTGCCAAAAAATACAAATTGGAGATATTGGTAAAAATTTTTATTATTTTTTGTATTTATATGGTGTTTGAATGTGATAAGATGACAAAGTACTGGACTGCTTCACACGTTCATGGCCTTAAACTATTCTTATTTTCATGTTCCACTAATAGTCCAGTCCTTTTCCTAATTTTTCTAATTAGCCCATAATAGTTAGTATATTATACTCTAATCTTGAAACAAGAAATTCAAAATATTTGTTCTTACTTACAGTTTAAATTAACCTCATTTAAAGTGGAATTTTTGTATCCAAGTTGGTTTTCAGAAAATGGGAATTTTCAGGTTTCTGTGTTTTGACTTCATTTGCCAGCTCGTTATGGCAACACACACCTTCCAAGGGGCCGCACACCCTTGTTCAGATATTTATGCAGATGTTAGTTTATAGATGAGATGGCCAGAGGTCTGAGTTTCCAAGCAACCGGCTGGAAGTAGAAAGATAAGGAGCAAAGTGAACACGCTGCACCCAGCCTGTGCATATCTTACCGTCAGCCACGCTCTAGTGAGAAGCTCTGACTGAATGTAGATGGGGTTTAGGTGTCGTTGACATGCAGTTCTGAAATGGAGTTAGGAGATTATCAGCCATCTGAGGATGTAATGTAATAGAGCTGTTACAGAGATCACATTAAGGGCCGTACACCTGGGTCACCCTCCTCTTCTGGAGGCTGAATGCCTGATCCAATTCACTTTAATCTCCCATTTTGGATATAAATTAGGTTAATATGAGACCATTTTGTGCTTGTCATAATTTCCCCAGCTGATGTGACCCTGCTATGCAAACGATTGCCCACTCGGGGCTCTGGAAGCCCGGCTGTGCCCGGTGACCTTCGTGCGTCAGGTGTTTGAGCTAATAATTGATAGGTTTTTTTAGAAGCGTCTGCGGTGGGTTCACAGCTGGCTGCCCGCACTCCGCACTCATCTGTTCAGCCACGGAAAAACCCACCAAGCATGGTGAAGTAAAGAAAAAAAAAAGGCCACATTTTGACACTGGACGTCCGGTTGAAAACGGGAATCATGAGCGGTCCGGTCGCCCTTCTGGTCATTCTCGCCCTCAGCCCTGCGGCCGCCAAGCCGAGCGCGGGTCTGAGAACGTGGGGCCACTTCGGCAGACTGCCCTATCCGGGGGACAAGGCTTTCCTCTACGACACCTTCCCCAAGGACTTCATCTGGGCCGTGGGCACGGCGGCGTACCAGGTGGAGGGCGCGTTTGAGAAGGACGGGAAGGGGCTCTCCATCTGGGACACCTTTACGCGCGGGGGGAACCGCATGGCCACGGGGGACGTGGGCAGCGACAGCTACCACAACATCCACGCGGACATCAGAGCCATCAGGCAGCTCGGGGTCAGCCACTACCGGTTCTCCCTGTCCTGGGCCAGGATCTTCCCCAACGGCACGCGCGGGAGCCACAACGAAGTCGGCACCAACTACTACCGGACGCTCATCAAGAGGCTGAAGGAGATCCGCGTGCAGCCGGTGGTCACGCTGTACCACTGGGACCTGCCGGACCACCTCCAGCAGAGCCTGGGCGGCTGGAGCAACCCGCAGCTGGTGGGGGTTTTTAGGGACTACGCGGACTTCTGCTTCAGCGCGTTCGGGGATGACGTCAAGTACTGGATCACCATCGATAACCCGTTTGTGGTGGCGCAGCACGGCTACGGCACCGGGGTGGTGGCCCCCGGGATCAAGAACGACCCCGATCTCCCGTTCAGGGTCGGACACAACCTTCTAAAGGTCGGTAAAAGAGGAGACCTTTTGGATGAGGTGTCTCTGGATTACTATACACAAACACACATACATAAAGTGGGGGAAATAAGTATTTGACCCCCTTGCTGCTTTTGCAGGTTTGCCCACTTACAAAGAATGCTTCTTTTTCCTCATCAGATGGTTATCAATTTTTTATAAATTCGTATGATGTGATTTTCTAGAATTTTCTTTGGGATTCTGTCTTTCACTGTTAGAATGTACAAATGATTAAAGTTGTAGATGGTTGCATTCTTTGTAAGTGGGCAAACCTGCAAAATCAGCAAGGGGTCAAATACTTATTTCCCCCACTGTATATATTTATGTATCTGTGTGTATAGACTAGATATTCAGCAGGAAGTAATATAGAAGTGAGAGATTTAGAAAAGAAAATGTACTTCAGTGTACTTATTTTGCAGATTTAATATATGTATGAACATTTTTCTTAAAATTTTGGTCCCAAAAAATATTTTCTGTTTGACAGTTCCAGTTCCACTTTTTTTTTAAATGTCTGTTTTCTAGTTTATCAGTCACTTCTCAGCTTCACTCATCTGTATGCAAAACTAAATGCCTTTTACTGTGACCATGTTCCCTGAATAAGTCAAACCCCCTTTCCCTAACGGTCCTTCTCCTTCTATGCTTCCCGTTTTCCCGGTCATCCGTCTCCTCCTCCTCCACTCCCCCCCCCAGGCTCACGCAGCTGCCTGGCATCTGTACGACAGCGTCTACCGCCCCCGGCAGCGCGGCCGGCTGTCCATGGCGCTGGCCTCCCACTGGATCAGGCCCAGCCGCACCCGGCTGGAGAGCCTGCGGGAGTGCCAGTGCTCGCTGGAGCACGTGCTGGGCTGGTTCGCCCGGCCCCTGTTCGGGGACGGGGACTACCCGCCCTGCATGAGGGCCCGGCTGGGCGCGCGGCTGCCCTCCTTCACCCCGGAGGAGACGGAGCGGGTGAGGGGGACGGCCGACTTCTTCGCCTTGTCCCACGGAGCCACCCTGAGCTTCCAGCTCGTCAACGACAGCCTCAAGTTCGGACAGCACGAGGACCTGGACCTGAGGAAGCTGCTGTACTGGGTCAGCGCGGAGTACGGGAAGCCCCCCATTTTTGTGGTGCAGAGCGGCTGGTGGGTCCTCATGCTGTTTCGTCTCCATAAATGCCGTTCAATGTGTGAAACCCACATCGTTTTCTCCTGATGCCCGACTCTAGGTACGTCCCCGGCAGCACCAAGACAGAAGACCCCAAACACATGTACTATCTGAAGAGCTTCATCGCAGAGGCGCTGAAATGTGAGTCTGTGCAACAGCCGTCCGCAAAGAGGGTCAGAGGCCAACTCAAGCCTCCGCATGTGTCTGCTGTCCAGCCATCGTCATAGACGGGGTGAACGTGATGGGGTACACGGCCTGGTCTCTGATCGACGGCTTCGAGTGGCACCGAGAGTACGGGATTCGGCGAGGACTGTACTACATCGACTTCAACACGCCCGACATGAAGAGGGAGCCAAAGACATCGGCCACGTTTTACAGGTAAAAGCCAGTAAATTAGAATATTTTGAAAAACTTGATTTATTTCAGTAATTGCATTCAAAAGGTGTAACTTGTACATTATATGTATTCATTGCACACAGACTGATGCATTCAAATGTTTATTTCATTTAATTTTGATGATTTGAAGTGGCAACAAATGATAATCCAAAATTCCGTGTGTCACAAAATTAGAATATTGTGTAAGGGTTCAATTTTGAAGACACCTGGTGCCACAAACTAGCTAACTAACTCAGCTGATTAACTCAAAACACTTGCAAAGGGCTTTAAATGGTCTCTCAGTCCAGTTCTGAAGCCTACACAAACATGGGGAAGACTTCAGATTTGACAGCTGTCCAAAAAGGCGACCATCGACACATTGCACAAGGAGGGAAATACACAAAAGGTTATTGCTGAAGAGGCTGGCTGTTCTCAGAGCTCTGTGTCCAAACACATTAATAGAGAGGCAAAGGGAAGGAAAAACTGTGGTCAGAAAAAGTGTACAAGCGATAGGGATCACCGCGCCCTAGTCAAAATTGTGAAAAAAAACCCATTCAAAAATGTGGGGGAGATTCACAAGGAGTTCCACCACCAAGAGACGCTTGAAAGACATGGGTTTCAACTGCCGCATACCTCGTGTCAAGCCACTGTTGACCAAGAAACAGCGCGAAAAGCGTCTCACCTGGGCTAAGGAAAAAAA